AATTCTAAGACGATCTAGCGATACCCGTCTGTCTGTCCGTCTGTCTGTTGTAATCACGCTATCTTTCAAACGAATTGAGATAGAAGGCTTAAATTGTACACACATGCATAGTTTACCAGTAGGCAGGTTAAGTTCGTAAATGGACCATGTCGGTCCACGTTTTCGTATAGCCTCCATATAACGGTATCTCCCGGTATTCGGTATTTTCATAATTTCAGCGACATTATTTTTCGGAATTATTTCAAATTTCGTATTTGAAGTTCGTAATGGGTGCTACAGCCTATGACAAAAATTCTTGTATGCCGGTTCAAGTCTTCGTATAGCCCCCATATAACGTTACCTCTCGATATTCTGTATTTTTATGATTTTAGCGACATTATTTATCGGAGTTTTTTAAAATTTCGTATTTGAAGTTCGTAATGGGTGCTACAGCTATGAAAAAAATTTCGTATGCAGGTCCACTTCTTCCTATAGTCACCATATTAGGGTAACTCCCGATATTCGGCATTTTGATGATTTTAGCGACATTATTCACCGGAATCGTTTCAAATTTCATACTGGAAGATACCAATGGGTACTACAGCCTATTGGAAAAAATTGCGAATGCAGGTCCACGTCTTCGTATAGCCCCCATATAACGTTACCTCCCGATATACGGTATGTTCATGATTTTAGCGACATTATTTATCGGAATTTTTTCAAATTTCGTATTGGAAGTTCGTAATGGGTACTACAGCCTATGACAAAAATTTTCGTATGCCGGTCCAAGTCTTCGTATAGCCCCCATATAACCTTATCTTCCGATGTTCGGTATTTTGATGATTTCAGCAACATTATTCACCGGAATTGTTTCAAATTTCGTACGGGAAGATACGAATGGGTACTACAGCCTATGGGAAAAAATTGCTTATGGAGGTCCACGTCTTCGTATAGCCCCTATATAACGGTACCTCTCGATATTCGGTATTTTAATGATTTTAGCGAATTTTTTTTTATCGGAATTATTTAAAATTTCGTATTTGAAGTTCGTAATAGATGCTACAGCCTATGACAAAAATTTTCGTATGCAGGTCCACGTCTTCGTATAGCCACCATATAACGGTACCTCCCGATATTCGGTATTTTGATGATTTCAGCAACATTATATATCGGAATTATTTCAAATTTCGTATTTGAAGTTCGTAATGGGTGCTTCAGCCTATGACAAAAATTTTCGAATGCAGGTCCAAGTCTTCGTATAGTCACCATCGGATACCTCCCGATATTCGGTATTTTGATGATTTCAGCAACATTATTCACCGGAATCGTTTCAAATCTCGTACTGGAAGATCCAAATGGGTACTACAAACTATGGCAAAAAATTTGTATGTAGGTTCAGATCTTCGTATAACCACCATATAACGGGACCTCCCGATAATTGGTATTTTCATGATTTTAGCGACATTACTTATCGGAAATATTTAAAATTTCGTATGTGAAGTTCGTAATGGGTGCTACACCCTATGACACAAATTTTTTTCTGCAGTTTTTTCATCTCACCCCGTATATTGATTTTATGAACTCCTTTATAAATGTTGGAATACTAATTTTGTATTTGAAAGACAAAATATGTGATAGCGTATAAAGCGTGTTATTTTAGCATAAGACTAGAGTATTATATTAACATTTTAATTAGATTTTATTAATAGCTCCCTAAGGCTAGGGTAATATTGGGTTGTTAAGCCTTGAAACTTTGTTGCAAATCGCCGATAAAACAAAAATAAAAACAAACTACAAAACTCCCTCCTTTGAAGACAAGAATAATTACCGAAAAATTATCTGATAAAAGTCTTCTGAGAAATACGAAGGTCATCTCAGATACCATTGAATGGAAATCAATAATCAACATCACCCCCTGCCTGGGCAAACAAATTGACCAGCAAATGTTGTGTAAAAAATGTACTCAAATAAATTTTCAATTTCAAATTTTTAGAGAAAAAACAAAATTACCTTTTCAAATAGTACATTGTTTCCCGCATTATTATTATTATTGTTATCGGTGTTTGGCCATTTATTTTATGACCAGTTCCTGGCATCTTCTCCACTGGTGGCTACCTTAAACCATTGTTTTCAGTCAATTAAAGAAAACACTTAACAACTTGAACAATAGAACGGCATTATGAAGATTTGTTGGGCTTTTTTGTTTTAGTTTCATTTGAACAAAATCGATTTTTTTGCTCGCGATTTAGTTGAAAATTTATGGAAATTGTAGCTATGGAGGAATTCGCAAAACTGTTTATAAATTCAAACATCACCCCAGAAAATACTTGGGCGACAAACTTTTAAAAAGCAATAAAAATAACATTTCAAACTGATCTACAAAACAAAAATTTAAATTCAAAACAAATTTTCGTTTACATCTCATAAACAACAAATGGTTCCCCATTTATATTTTAACACTGGAAAAAAAAAAAAAAAACAAAATATAAGTTAGAATAGAAGACCACCTTATCCACCTGGAAGTAGTTCTACGGATCTTCCACGCCTAGGATACCTTTTAGTGGTCTTGTATGCATAGAAGACCCTGTAGAGGTCTTCTACGCGAAGACCTTTTTCTCTTCTAGAGAAAATCTAGAAGTACTCCCCGAGTATTTCCCTGTCTAGAAGACCTTGCAGAGATCTTCCCGCCATGAAAGTCTTTTTGGCTCGGAAGAAGATCTTCCTTAAGAAGACATATTCGTCTAGAAAAAATTTTTTGGAGGTTTTCTCCGCCTAGAAAAAGGTAAAGAGGTCTTCTCAGTCTAGAAGACTTTGAATGGATCTTCTAGAGTCTTTCCCTGCCTAGAAGAGCGTCAAAAGGTCTTCTCCACCTTAAAGATCTTCTGAAGTTATTTTTAGCTCATTAGAAGAAGATCTTTAGGAAGACCAATTCGCCTAGAAAAATGTCTAGAGGTCTTCTCCGTCTAGAAGACCTTCTAGTGATCTTCTATGCGTAGAAGAACCTCTATAGGACTTCTTCGCTAGAAGATCTTCTTAAGGTCTTTTTGGTCTAGATCTTCTACGCTAAGAAGACCTAGAGGTCTTTATTCTTCGCTTTGAAATCCTTCTAAGAGTCTTTTACGCCTAGAAGACCTTCTAGAAGTATTTTTGACATCGACGATCTTCTACAAGTCTTCTCTGCCTTGAAGACTTTATGATGGCCTTCTCCAAATAAAATATCTTCCCGAGAGCATCTTAAAGATCATTTATAGATATTCCTATAAAAGATCATTTGAAGATAATTTATAGGTATTCTGCTCCTAGAACACTTCCTCTTAAAGACGCTTTTAGAATTCTTCTTCGTCTTAAAGAGCTTTTGCAGGTCTTCTTCGCCTAGAAAGCTGTTTAGAGGTCTTCTCCGCTTATAAAACCTGCAGGAGGTTTTCTTCACCTAAAAGACCGTCTGCAAGTCTTCCCGCCTAGTAAACTTTCTAGACGTCTTTTCCTTCTGACCGCCTAGAAGCCTAGAAGTCTGCTTCGCCTAGAAGCCCTTTTAGGGATCTTCTTCGTCTAGAAGATCTTTTAGAGGTCTTCTACACCTAGAAAGCTTCCTAGGGGTCCTCTCCACCCACAAGACTTTTTAAAGGTCTGTTCCGCCCAGAAGATCTTCTAGAGATCCTCTGGATCTACTGAAGACTGAAGTCTTCTCTGCCCAAGGTCTTCTGGGCAGTATGGAAGTCTTCTCTTCCCGTCCGTCTGGTGGACCTTTCCACCTAGAAGACTTTCTAGAGGTTTTGTACAACTGAAAGACTTTCTGGAATCCACTTTGAATATGTCCTAGAAGTCTTTCCCGCCTGGTAGAGGTCCTCCCTGCTTCCAAAAACTTCCAGAGGTCTTCAAGACCTTCTGGAGGCCTTATTCACCTATAACAATTCACCTTATCCACCATCTGAAGAACACTATTCCCATTAGAAGGTCTAAAGAAGACTTCTTAGAGGTCGTCTTAGCCTTGAGCGCCTTCTCCAGAAGACCTTCTAGAGGCCGTCTTAACCTACAAGATCTTCTAGAAGCCTTTTTCCATTAGAAGGTCTTCAAGACCTTCTGGAGGCCTTATCCACCTTATCCACCATATGAAGAACATTTCTAAGAGGTCGTCTTAGATTTTAAGACCTTCTAGAGCTCTTTGGAGTCCAGAAGACCTTGTAGTGGTCGTCTTAACCTACAAGTTTTTCTAGAAGCCTTTTTCCATTGGGAGGTCTTCAAGACCTTCTGGAGGCCTTATCCACCTAGAACAATCCACCTTATCCACAATCGGAAAACACTATTCCCATTAGAAGGCCTGAAGAATACTTCTTAGAGGTCGTATTAGGCTTGAAGGCCTTCTAGAGCTCTTTTGAGTCCAGAAAACCTTCTAGAGGTCTTTTTAACATAGAAGGTATTCTAGAACCCTTTTTCCTTTAGAAGGTCTTCAAGACCTTCTGGAAGCCTTATCTGAAGAAGACTTCTTAAAGGTCGTCTCAGAGTCCTTTTTAGGTCCAGAAGACCCTCTAGAGGTCGTCTTAACCTACAAAATCTTCTAGAAGCCTTTTCCCTTTAGAAGCTCTTCAAGACCATCTGGAGGCATTATCCACCTAGAACAATCCGCATTATGCACCATCTGAAGAAGACTTCTTGGAAGTCGTCTTAGTCTTGAGGGCCTTCTAGAGTTCTTTTGAGAAGCCTTTTCCCATTAGAACACCTTCTGGAGGCCTTCTCTGACTAGAAACGTCTTAACCTACAACACCTTTTAGAAACCTTTTTCTATTAGAAAACCTTCTGGAGGTCTTCGCTGACTAGAAAACCTTATATGCATATATCGAACACCTTCTTAAGCCTTCTTTTGTATAAAAAAACTTGCTCTAAGTCACTAAGAGGACTCTTTTTTAATATTTCTTAATTTGTTTCAGTTTAATCTCTTTCGTACATCATGTCCTGACATGTTTTTGCAATATTGTTAATATCAATGTTAATATGTTGGTTGTTGTTTCCCTCTGTCATTACAGGAATTCCAAAAGAAACTTTTTCATCTCTTCGACTTGGATGGCAATGGTTATCTGGTGCAAGATCGTTGGATAGAACATTTGAAAGGACGTTTGACGTAAGTTTTATGTTATCGCCTAGCTGCTTTTTTGTTGCCTGGGCATATCACATCCGAGACACACACTCACACACACAATCACCCATTTCCAGAGTCACATGCTAAACATTTCCCATTCTGATTTGTTAATCTTTTAATGCATGTTTTACAAGTGACTTGACCAAATAACGCACTCAACCACAAAACATGAATAGTTACATATAAACATACCGACATACATACGTAGATGAAGATTGGCCAAGGAATAATAGGTATTGTATAGGGATGACAATTTGGGGGATTTTTAATATATAGGTTTGATGGTCTCAAAATATCATTGCAGAAAAGACAATAGCAGAAAACTGTTGATAATAAAATTATGGGCAGAATAAAGCTATAATAAAGCGGAGTTTTTCTCCAGATGAAAGAATTTATTAAATTTAAATATTTTAAGAGAAACGGGAGATTTTTTTCTGCCGATAGAGAGAGAGAGAGAGAGAGGGAGGAATGGCAAATATGCAAATAAAAATATTGAAAATATAATGTATATTCAATGAAAATGGTTGTAAATAAATAAGGAAATCAAATTAATTATGGAAAATAATTTGAATAAAAATAAAACAAGAAGCTTAAACATCCACTTTTTAAATTGCCGATAATAGGCCATTATTAAATCTGAAAATATTTGTAAATATATAAATATTAATTTCAAAAATATGTACATTTTAAATTAATATTATACCAATATCTCTACACATACATACCAGCTGGACGTCTGGCAGACGTCATTGTACAACATATGTAAAATTAATTTTTAAGCCGAACCCCAGACAACCACAAAGTTTCGCGGGTTCAATGAATTCTAAATATTCAAATATTTTAATAAAGATGTATTTTAATAAAATAAATAAATAGATCGATGGTTAATATAGAAATAGATGTATAATAAAGAACAATTAAAAAAACATTAAGTTCGGGCGGGCCAAACTTTAAATACCCTCCACCTTAGGCAAAAGGAAACATTTTTATATAAAAGTATCTGAATTCAAGTGTGTTTCACTTTAAACTTCATATACCAGTAAGACCTTTTGCATAATGCTGTTAATCTTATCAAAAAACCATAAAGTGAGCGATGCCGTTGCATGGGGTCATACCAAAACGGGAATCTCTATAGACAATTTTATACTTCTATCAAATCTTCTAAAATACCAAATTTGAAATAATTTCTTGGGTATGATACCGAATATCGGTGGGTATCGTTGTATGTGCGCTATAGAAAAACGTGTAACTAAATATTCAATGTTCTGCCACCGGGCTAGAACCCATTATGAACTGCAAATGCCAATTTTTAGACTAATCCGTGGAGAAATGTTGCAAAAATCATCAAAATACTGAATATCCGGGTGGTACCATTATGTGGAGGCTATACGAAAACGTGGACCTAAAGGAGCTAAACCACATTACGAACTACAAATACCAAATTCTGGACAAATCTATTAAAAAATATGCAAAAATTATCGAAACAACGAATATCGGGAGGTACCGTTATATGGGGCTATACCGGAACATCGGTCCACGTTCCCCTCATATATCTCATTTTTAATACCAACCATCCACACTACAAATTATTCTCTTTTTTAATTTTATTGCATGAAAGAAAAAAATGTCGGATATTGCATCAAATTTTAGAATAAGTTTCGATTTGTTCGAATTGGTCACCTTTGGCACGAATTATGACCTTCAAACGGCCAATGAAACCGTCACACGCTGCCCGAATATTGCTCAGCGGTATTTTGTCCCATTCCCGGCGAAGCGCTTGCTTTAGGTGATCGACACTTTGGTATTTTCAAGTGCCAACCTTGCTTTCCAAAATACTCCAGACATAATAGTCCAACGGATTGGTATCCGGAGATTTTGGTGGCCATTGTGCGCTGGAAATGAAGCGATGAACCTCATTTTGTAACCACTCTTGGGTTGCGCGTGCTGAGTGTGATGGTGCAGAGTCTTGTTCAAAGGTCCAAGGTCTGCGGCCAAAATGTTTGCGTGCCCAGAGCTTAAATACACCCCCCCCCCCCCCCGAAATTTTTTCGCAATAATATTCGGCATTTATTCTGATGCCACGGTCGATTAATACGAAAGCGACCATCGGCTATTATGGCGTCCCACATCAAAACCATGGCCGGCACTTGAGTTCTGGTGGCCAACCGAAGGTGCACATTTTCAGCTGACCTCTTTGACAAGTAAACACGATCATTTTGTTTGTTTACAAACTGCTGGACAACGAATATTTTCTTATCGGAGAAAATCGACTTCGGCAGTTCACCACTTTCGGCCAAGCGAAGCAACTCTTGAGCTCTTTTGAGTCTATTTTCTTTCTGTTGGGTTGTAAGTTCTTGCACTTTTCGGAATTTCAATGGCTTTACCCCAAGCTCATTTTTCAATATTTTCCGAATGGCATATTGCGATATGTTCAGCTCACTAGCCATTTTTCGACGACTGCGACGCGGGTTTCGATCAAGTCGCTTCTTTACTTTTTGCACCATTTCTGCTGATGTTGCTGTTTTCTTCCGTCCATTTCCTTGACGTCGGGCTATGCTACCAATATCACGGTAACGAGCGATGGTACGAGACACAAAAGATTTATTCCCATTTCAATGCTGGAGTGCTCTAACGATAGCCATTTGTGGTTTTCCAGCCAAATATAAAGAGATCACACCATCACGCTTGAATTCCTTCACGAATAACTTTTTTTCGGAAAATTCTCACCAAAATGCTTTTGTACGCTGGTAAGCAATATAATGAGCTGTCACTGCAATAATTTTAACAGCTGTCGGACGAGTGGTTTAGAAATTACAGCATTCTGAAGTTGGTTGCAGTTTTTTCATCTCACCCTGTATATTCGGTAGTTTGAAGATTTTAGGGGCATTAATCACCGGAGTAGTTGTTAAATTTCGTATTTAGAGTATATCAGAGAAAATTGTCTATGCAGGTCCAGGTCTTTATATAAGCCACATATACCTGTTTCTCCCTATATTCGTTATTTTGACGATTTCAGGTATAATATTACCCGAATTTGTTAGAAGTTTTCGAATTTCGTATTTGAAGTTACTAATAGGTACTACAGCCTGTGACATGAAATTGTCTTCGTATAGCCGCCATATAACAGTACCTCCCTTTATTCCGTATTTTGATGATTTTAGTGACATTATTCACCGGAGTCGTTTCAAATTTCGTATTTAGAGTTCGTAATGGGCACAACAGCCTATAACAGAAAAATGTCTATGCAGGTCCGTATAGCCCCCATATATCGGTATCTTTCTATATTCGGTATTTGGACTATTTTAGATGCAATATTCACCAAAATCGTTTCAAATTTCGTATTTAAAGTTTCTAATGGTTATTGCAGCCTGTGACAAAAATTGTATATGCAGGTCCAGGTCGCCGTATATCGGTACCTCCCTATATGCGGTATTTAATATAATTTTAAAAGGATTTTTCAAGCTTCGCATTTGATTATTGTAATGCCCCATAGCAAAAGTTGCCTATGCAAATCCACGTTTTCGTATAGACCCCAATATAATGGCTATATTCGAAATTTCATTTTTTTTTTTGAAAATTTTGTCCCAAATGGCGGGGGGTATTCAAAGTTCGGCCCGGGCGAACTTACTGCTTTTTCATTTGTTTTTTTTTTTTTTAATATTTTCTTCAATATTCAATAATTTTGTCTACTTTTAAGTTCCATTTCGTTGTCTTCTTTTTTTGCATATAACATTTATTTGCCCCAAAACGTCATCCCTACAACCAAATGACATGATTCGGGCCATGTTATTCCTCAGAATAACATACAATGTGCGACGACATAAACTCCACTACTTTGCCATGGAATTGACGTGCTGTGAAGACGAAGATGCTACAACTTTGTTGTTCAACAACATTTTTATGCGAAAATCAGATTTGGTGTTGTTGTGAATGTTTTTGTCGTTGTTGTTGTTTTTGCCAGCACTGAAATGCAGTGAATGGTGTTGGCGATGTCAATTGCTATTAATTTGTTTTCGCGAATTATTTTTTTTTTGTCGAAGCAACTAAGCCTAGGTTAAACATTCATTACACCTACATACATTCTTACACAGAGCAAACAATTTCAGCATTCAGCACTTTAGCTCGGTAAGAAGAATTATGTTTGCAGACGATTTGTTCTTGGTTTAGAAGAGGACATTTTTGAAGAGTATAGAAAAGCTCTTTGTTTAGTAGAGGTAATTTGTAAAGAGTCTAGAAAAGGTATATTTTACATATAAAGAAATTATTTTTATCAATAAATAAAAGCTCTCTTAGAGATCGTCTACAGATAGAAAACCTGCAGAGTCCCCTCCTAAAAATAAGGTAGTATAGAGGTATTCTATAGAGATATGACACTTAAATAACCAACACTTATTTTAGATCTTCCCTAGATATAAGAGCTTAAAGGCCTGTTTATGTATGCCAATAGAAAACGAATGGGGACCAGTAAAAAAGCAACTAAGTTCGTTCGGGCCGAACTTTTAATACCTTCCATCATTTGAAACAAACTTGAAAATTGTCATAAAAATCCGAAAAAAAGTACCGTTCAAATGATGACCTTAATACGGGGTCTATGCGAAGACGTGGACCTGCATTTGTATTTTTGTCATAGGCTGTAGTGTCCATTAGGATTTCCAAATACGAAATTTCAAACAATTATGGCAAAAAATTCCACTAAAATCCTCAAAATATCCAATATAGGGAGGTATCGTTAAATGGGCGGCTACAGGAAGACGTGGACCTGCACACGAAATTTTTAGGCATAGGCTGTGGCACCCATTACATACTTTGAGTGCGAATTTTGAAACAATTCGGGTGAATAATATTGCTAAATCATCAAAATACCGAATATCGGGAGGTACCTTTACATGGGGGCTATACGAAGACGTGGACCTGCACACGAAATTTTTAGGCATAGGATGTAGTACCCATTACAAACTTCTAATACGAAATTTGAAACAATTCGTGTTAATAAAATAGCTAAAATTATCAAAATACCGAAGATCGGGAAGCATCTTTATATGGGGGCTATACAAAAACGTGGACTTGCATACGAAACTTTTAGGCAAAGGCTGTAGTACCCATTACAAACTTCGAATTCGCAATTTGAAAAAATTCAAGGGAATATTATCGATAAAATCAAGAAAATACCAAATATCGGGTGGTATCGTTATATGGGGGCTATACGAAGACGTAGACCCGCATACAAAATTTGTAGGCATAGGCTGTGGTACCCATTACGAATTCGAAATGCGAAATTTGAAACAATTCAGGTGAGTAATGTCGCTAAAATCATCAAAATACAGAATATCGGGAGGTATTGTTATATGGGGTCTATACGAAAACCTGGATCGATATGGCCTATTTACGAAAACCTTCAAAGGTTAACCTCCCTAAATACACATGTGTGGTACCCATTATGTACCAATTACGAATTCGAAATGCGAAATTTGAAACAGTTCGGGTGAATAATGTCGCTAAAATCATCAAAATATCGAATATCGGGAGATATCGTTATATGGGAGCTATACGAAGACGTGTACCTGCATAGGCAATTATCTGGCATAAGCTGTAGCACCCATTACAAACTTAAAATACGAAATTTGAAACAATTCGGGTGAATAATGTCGCTAAAATCATCAAAATACCGAATATCGGGTATTGTTATATGGGGGCTATACGAAAACCTGGATCGATATGGCCCATTTACGAAAAACCTGTAAAGGTTAAGCTCCCTAAATACACATGTGTGCGAAGTTTTAGACTTCTATCTCAATTCGAAAAATAGCGTGACTACAACATATAGACAGACAGATCTACAGACAGACGGACATTGCTAAATCTTCTTAGAATTTTACGTTACAAACCTACCTATACCCTCTATAAAATGGTGGAGGGTATAAAAACACAAATTAAATTTTGTTATTAAATTTACTAAAATAAAAAAAGAAATAATGTTTTTCGTTCGCATTCATGTTTTTGACATACATTGATTCATAGAATTCTGAGGCAAAATTCTATTCAGAACTCCATAGACAGAATAAGTTTTTTTCTACCTATCTGTAGAAGACTTCGGGAACGCTTCATCTCTGTAGAAGTCTTCTGAAATGTCTTTTATCTGTAGAATACCTTTTATTTATAAACAATTTTTGGAGATTGTCCATAGAAATCTACCAGCTGACATAAGACCTTTTAGAGGTCACCTATCAAAAAATGAGACCTAACTCCATACCATATATCAATTTCTATCTTATATCCCATCATAGAACTTATTTTTGTTCCATTTATTTGATAATAAGTTATGTTTACTTAGCGAACATTTAATTGTATTTTTTTACATTTTGTGTCCGAACTAATTACAGCGATGACAGGCAAATGGACTATGCCGAACAACTGGAATCTGTGGCCTATGTGATCTGTGGAGAGAACAGCAAAATTACATTTAAAAATTTCACCGATATATGGCATGCCCGTGGGGTAAGTTTGAAAACAGCACCATGCAATACATTCTTAGACCTTAAACAAAATTAATGCTTAATCTTCTTCTTCTTCTTCCACTTTTTCTTGTTTCATTTGTTTATTCACCAGATTTTAGATAAATTATATCGTCTCATAGATAGCGATGGCACCAATTCCATATCCACAAATCAAATCATGGAGTTCATATCTCATTTAACCAATTCCAGGTAAGAAACAGAACACAAAAGAGCCTTCAATCTGTTTTATGGCTGTCGATCCACAGGTTTTGGGGTAAAAAGAAAAAAATGAACTTGAAAGACAAATCTACAAACTAATAAATTATGACCATGTTAACAATTTACAATTTGTAAAACAAATTGATTTTTCCACCCCATTTCCCCCCTCCATCATGGTGGGGGGGGGAAACATGTACAGCAGTTGGGAAAATATTCGCATTATAAGAGCTATGGGAATAAAAGATGTTCTGTTGGATGGACAGTGGTTCCATAGGAAACCGCTTCTCATGTCCAATGAAATCGTCCATCAATAGAACACAGGCAAAGAATTTGTACATAAGATCTGGTTTGTACAGGCCTCTGGAAGGCCTATTGTCGGTGACGGCTCTGGTTGGTCTTTTGCCAAATGAAGTCCTCTAGAAGGTCTTCCACAACAAGAACTTTCTAAAGGCCACTGGAATTTCTTCTGTGTGGAGAAGATCTCCGGAAGGTCTTCCTACTATTAAAGTCAACGGGAAGGTCTTTTCTCTATTAATCCAGGAAGATCTTCTGTCCCTTCAGTCAGTAAGACCCCTGGACGGTGTTCTGTCTACAGAATACCTCTGGGAGATCTTTTGTCTATAGAAGACCTCTGCGAAGACCACTTCCCCGCCTGGACGACCTTCTAAAAGTTTTCTACGACTAGAATACCTTTCTGAACCCTAGGAGTCTTTCACGCTTAGAAGACCTTCTAGAGGATCGTTTTGTCTTTGAAGGCCTTTAAGATGTTTTCCCCGCCTAGGAGACCTTCCAGACCCCTTCACCGACTGGAAAACATTTTAAATGTCTTCTACTCCTAAAAGACCTTTCAGACCACTAGGAGTTTTCTACGCCTAAAAGACATTCTAGAGGTCTATTTGGCTTGGAAGATCTTGTAGGAGTCTTCTCCACCTTGAGACCTTCTGGAGGTCTTCTGCGCCCAGAATACCTCTGAGAGATTTTTTTGTCCGCCTGGAAGACCTTGTACAAGTCTTCAACGCCTAGGATACCTTCTAGACCCCTTCTAGAAGTCTTTTTGGTGGAGTCTTCCTCGCCTAGAATACCTAGAGGTATTTTGGCTAGGAAGATCTTCTAAGTGTCTACTCCACCTTAATGACCTTCTGGAGGTGCTCTCCGCTCAGAAGACCTTGTAGAGGTATTTTCTTTCTCACTTCTGCCAAAGGAAGACCCCTCGGTGGTATTCTGTCTGCAGAATACATCTAAGAGATTTTCTTTGTCCATAGAAGACCACTTCACCGCCTGGAAGACCTTCTAGAAGTCTTTTTGGTGGAGTCTTCTGCGCCAAGAAGACCTTCTACAGTACTTTTTAGCTTGGAAGATCTCCGCTTTGAAGACATTTCTTCTCTTTTGTCGAACAAAGACCCATGGACTTCTGTCTACAGAATACCTCTGGGAGGGCTTCTGCCTGTGGAAGTCCTCTGGAAGGTCTTCGATGTAAAGGAGAAGACTGTCTATAGAAGGCCACTGGAAGGTCCTTGTCGATAGAAGACCTCTAGGAAGGCTGGAAAATTTTTCGTCCAAAGAAGACTTCTGGATGTTTTTTAATGAATACCTCTGGAAAGTCTGCTATCTATAGAAGACTTCTGAAAGGACTTCTCTCTAGAGAAGACCTCTAGAAGGCCTTCCGACCAAAGAAAATCCCTGGACGGTCTTCTGGCTATGTGTAAGGGACCTCTGCCTTTAGAAGGCTTCTGAAAGGTCTGGTTTCAATAAAAGACCTCTTGAGGGTCTTATCTCTACAGAAGACTACTGGAAGGTTTAAAAAAAAGACTTCAGGAGAGTCTTTTGTCTGCAGACAAATTTTGGAAGGCCTTTTGTCTAAAAAATTCTTCTGGAGGGTATTCTGCCCGAAGAAGACCTCTGGAAGGCCTTTCTTATGTCTATAGAAAACCTCTGGGGGATGTTCTATCTATAGAAGAACTATGGATGTTTTCAAGATGAAGAACACCTCAGGAAGGTCTGCGGTCTGAGGAAGACCTCTAAAAGGTCTTCTGTCCATAGAAGAACTCTGCACTGGATGGTGATAGAACGCCTCTGAAGGCGATATTTTCAAAAACATTGCCTATCTACAGGTCTTTGCAAGGTCCTCTTTCCTGAGAATATATTTAGAAAGTCTTTTGTTTTTAGAGGACCTCAAGATGGTCTCCATTCCGTAGAGATCTTCTGGAAGACTTCCTATAAAAAAAAAAACATTTAGAATGTCTTTTGTCCGTAGAGCTGTTATAGGTTCTCATTCCTCCTCCTTAAAGTTTTTCTATCAACGAATAAAGTTTGGAAGATCTTTCCAAGGACCACTGTGCAGCTCCTGCTCGAATGTAGAGGAGAGCAACTAAATGCGATGATGGAAGACAACAAACATAGAAAACGTTTCAGCAAACACACACACTTACACATAAAAACGCTGACAAGAACCGGGAAAAGCAGCTATTAATCAAATGCTATGTTCTGGAGCTTAGTAATCTTTTAATTAATCTTTAATTTATTACTAAACCCTAACTGCAGCAATAACAGCAACAACAACAACATCATCATCTCAAGCACCAACATGTAATGGTCTTTCATTTCGATTTGTAAGACTAGGTAATGGTTGCAAGTTTTGCCAGGATGGACAAGAAGACTTGGCCAATGCAATTTGTTAAAACTCTTTGGTATTATAATTGTTGTTCCTGTTTTTTGTATTACCTTTGTTGTTGTTGTTGTTTGCATTGCTGCATAAATTATTTATTTATTGTCTATGATGTGATGCTTAAGCTAGCTATTTGTTTTTCACTCTCCCTCTTCCCTTTCTTCATTTTGTAGACCCCGCACTGGATTCGATAAAAGCTCCTTGGCCCGGCTGGAACAGCTCTTTCGTAATACTGTGGGAAATGAACGTGAAATACGACGTGAGGAATTCAAGAAAATTGTTATCTCCAAGAATGTAAGTCCATGACCAAACCCGATGCAACCAACCTACCAGCCAACCAACCAACTATCGTTGTTGTGGAATTTAATTCATTTACTGTTCGTGTCTGTGGTTTTCTGTTCTGTTCTCTCGTTTTAGCCTTTCTTTACGGAACGTGTTTTCCAAATCTTTGACAAGGATAACTCAGGTTCAATATCACTGCAGGAATTCATTGATGCCATTCAACAATTCTCAGGACAATCGGCAGATGATAAAATACGTTTTCTATTTAAGGTTTACGATATCGATGGTAATGTATTCATTTTATTCATTGTAGGGGGGAAGATGGGTGGGGGGTTAACTATGGCAGTAAGCCATAAAGGCGCTGGTTTCGCAGTAATCGAAATTGTGATATTATGGAATATTTAATGGGTGTTGTTCTGATAAAGCAGTGGTCTGTCCAGGTGATGTCAATATTAGGATTTACAAAATATTTAAGTAGATTAGTTAACAAATAAAGAGTAAAATAAATTACGCCATGGGTTCGTCCCCAGAACATTTGTTAGGGTAGAAAATTCGAATCAGAATCCGATAAAGTTTTTATATTTGATTTCTGTAGATGTTCCAAAAAGAGAGACAGGGAGTCTGTTTGGTCAGTAGAAATACACCTACGTAGCCTAAGAAACCAATGATGGCTGTTAAGCCTTCGGTTTTCATATCGAATTTTTTTTTACAGATTTTCTGTGGAGACAAACCTCTACGAATTCATCTATTCTGAGAAATTTTCAAAGTTACCTTCTATGTATAAAATATCTTCAAAAGCTCTTCATTGTGAACAATATCTTTAAAAGCTGTTCTATATACAGAAGACTTTCGAAGAAGACCACTAAAAGCTATTCGGTATATAAAGGACATCTAAAGGATCTTCTTCTTCAATAAAGGCCTTTCTAAATATAGAAGCCCCATAAAAGCTCTTCTTTATGCTATATAGAAGACCTATAAAAGCTATTCTATGTGACGTGAGGGGTTTTTTGTAAAAGCTTCTCCAGGTGTAAAAGACCTTCCTTATGTGCTCTTACATATTTTTAAGACCTCCAAAGACTGTAGGCGACAGTAAATGAAACTGCAGACGACTGTTAATAAGACTGTAGGTGACTGTTAAGGAGACTGTTAGGGAGACTGTAGGTAACTGTTAAAGAGATTATAGGAGACAGTTAATGATACTGCAGGCGAATGTTAAATATACTGTAGACGACTGTTAAAGTGACAGTATGTGACTGTTAAAGAGACTATAGGTGACTGTTACAGACACTGCAGACGACTTTTAAGAAAAATGTAGGCGACTGTTAAGGAGACTATAGGCGAGTGTTAAGGCGACTGTTAAGGGGACTATAGGCGACTGTTAAGGGGACTATAGGCGACTGTTAAGGGGACTATAGGCGACTATCGGTGACTGTTAAGGATACTATAGGCGACTGTTTAGAAGACTACAGGCGACTGTTAAGGAGACTATAGGCGACTGCTAAGGAGATTATAGGCCACTATAGGTGACGGTAAAGGAGACTATAGGCGACTGTTAAGGAGGCTATAGGTGACTGTTAATGTGGCCATAGGCGACTGTTAAGGAGGCTATTGGCGACTGTTAAGGGACTATAGGCGACTGTTAAGGAGGCCATAGACGTCTGTTAAGGAGGCTATAGGCGACTGTTAAAGAGACTATAGGCGACTGTCAAGAAGGCTATATGCGACTGTTGAGGAGGCTATAGGCGACTGTTAAGAAGACTATAGGTGACTGTTAAGGAGACTATAGGCGACTGTTAAGGAGACTATAGGCGACTGTTAAGGAGACTATAGGCGACTGTTAAGGGACTATAGGCGACTGTTAAGGAGACTATAGGCGACTGTTAAGTAGGCTATGGGCGACTGTTAATGAGGCTATGGGCGACTGTTAAGGAGGCTATAGGAGACTGTTAAGGAGGCTATAGGCGACTGTTAAGGAGGCTATAGGAGACTGTTAAGGAGGCTATAGGCGACTGTTAAGGAGTCTATAGGCGACTGTTAAGGAGGCTATAGGCGACTGTTAAGGAGGCTATAGGCGACTGTTAAGGAGGCTATGGGCGACTGTTAAGGAGTCTATAGGCGACTGTTAAGGAGGCTGTAGGCGACTGTAGGCGAAAGTTAAGGAGGCTATAGGAGACTGTTAAGGAGACTGTTAAGGAGACTATAGCCAACTGTTAAGGAGACTATTGGCGACTGTTAAGGGACTATAGGCGACTGTTAAGGAGGCCATAGACGTCTGTTAAGGAGGCTATAGGCGACTGTTAAAGAGACTATAGGCGACTGTCAAGAAGGCTATATGCGACTGTTAAGTAGGCTATGGGCGACTGTTAATGAGGCTATGGGCGACTGTTAAGTAGGCTATGGGCGACTGTTAATGAGGCTATGGGCGACTGTTAAGGAGGCTATAGGAGACTGTTAAGGAGGCTATAGGCGACTGTTAAGGAGTCTATAGGCGACTGTTAAGGAGGCTATAGGCGACTGTTAAGGAGGCTATAGGCGACTGTTAAGGAGTCTATAGGCGACTGTTAAGGAGGCTATAGGCGACTGTTAAGGAGGCTATAGGCGACTGTTAAGGAGGCTATGGGCGACTGTTAAGGAGTCTATAGGCGACTGTTAAGGAGACTATAGGCGACTGTTAAGTAGGCTATGGGCGACTGTTAATGAGGCTATGGGCGACTGTTAAGTAGGCTATGGGCGACTGTTAATGAGGCTATGGGCGACTGTTAAGGAGGCTATAGGAGACTGTTAAGGAGGCTATAGGCGACTGTTAAGGAGTCTATAGGCGACTGTTAAGGAGGCTATAGGCGACTGTTAAGGAGGCTATGGGCGACTGTTAAGGAGTCTATAGGCGACTGTTAAGGAGGCTGTAGGCGACTGTAGGCGAAAGTTAAGGAGGCTATAGGAGACTGTTAAGGAGACTGTTAAGGAGACTATAGCCAACTGTTAAGGAGACTATAGGCGACTTTTAAGGAAGCTGCATGAGACTGTTAAGGAGGCTGTAGGAGACTGTAGGAGACTGTTAAGGAGGCTGTAGGAGACTGTTCAGGAGGCTATAGGCGACTGTTAAGGAAACTTTAGGTGACTGTTAAGGATACTGTAGGCGTCTGTAAAAGAGTTGTCGTCTGTTAAAGTTGGCAACAGCTGAGGAGATCCTTAAGGAGACAGATTTTAAAGGAGAATGTAGGTGAATGTTAAAGAAGCTGTAGACGAATATTCAGAAGACTGTAGGCGACTGCTAAGACATCCATGGACATCCTGGCAAGGTGTCTATAATGGACTCAATTAATGCTTCTACAGAGTTAGAGTCAAATTTAAAGGTAGCTGACGGCAGTCAGTTAAGGAACATACAGTAAGAAATTAAGGAGAGCTTGTGCGATTTTAAGCTGCCTTAAAAGCCTTTTCCAAAAAACAATAATTTACCCTACAAAGCCCTCACTCTTCAATACGAAAGTGCTTAATGCGTCATTACATATGTATGTACTTATTGATGTATGTGTGTATTTATGGTTATGCGAGCCTCCCTAAGTTGTTTCACTAAAATTATGTTTATTATGGACTTGTTTGCCATTTCAGCTTACAGAATTCCCAACTGACCTTGGTGCACATTTTTTGGCACAAAATTTCAAGTTTATTTCTTTATTTTGGGAGAAACTCGAGAAACAGGGAACTAGTTTCCTCTGCGCTTAATATTGTCTTACCAACCTGGGCGGCTTATTGTTTCCAAAGATTTATACAATGCCAATATTTTTCATTTTTTTTTTTTTTTTTGTTAACGAAGACGATTAACCACTTATTGATTTATTACTTAAGGTGATGGTCTCATACAGCACAAGGAATTGCATGATGTCATACGTGCCTGCATGGAGGAGAATGGCATGGAATTCTCTGAAGATCAGGTAAGAGCATAAATAGCAATAATAACAATGATGATTTATTTGTAAGCGATTTCCAATGCGTATTCATTCTTCCTATCCTCCCATTGTCGTGGTATGGATGGGGAGATTGCGTTATTGGTCATTCAAGTCATAGCCAAGCTAAAGTGGTCAATGGACAATTGGGAATGACCAAAAACAAAGCGACAATCATAAATGACAATAAAACATTATTTCCCATTCTGTTTTCCTTTCTTTTTTGGTGATTCTGCGACCGGCTGCAAACCCTCAAAGATTAAAGATCTAACAACGGCCATGTTTGAAGATGCCGATCCATACAATCGTGGCGAGATTACTTATGAGGCTTTGAAAAATCAATTACATAAACATGGTGGACTCTTGGAGAATCTAAGTATAACGTGGGTAGCCATGTGACACTTGATGTGGTATGGAAGATTAATTAAATATTGTTTTTCCTTTGTGCTTTGATTTTAGGATTGACCGTTGGCTTGTGCCAATGGCCCAGGATCCACAGGCTGGGAAAACCAAATCGAAACTATGGAACTCCATACCCATTCCACATCAATTGACGCCGGCCTACATGAAAAACAATCATGTCTTTGTGACCTATCTCTTCTTCTATATTGCCATAAATGTGTGTCTGTTTGTGTCGCGAGCCATCCAGTATAGGGCTAGCAATGGATTTGTTATTGTGGCCAGAGCGTGTGGTAAGTTATGAAAGCTAAGATGGTTGTGAGGAATTTTTGGGACGACTGCTAGGCTCCAAGGAGGTGGCTTCAAGGTGCCTCTGAGGAGACTTCAAGACGACTTTCTTGATTGGAAGGACCTCAAAGATCAAGGCGACCGTTTTGAGACATTTGGGCGACTTTAAGAATGGAGATGGCTCTGAGAAGAATTTAGGGAGACTGAGAGATTGTATGTGACTTTTAAGTGGTAACAGTCGCCTGTTAAGAAGACTATACGTGGCTGTTAAGGAGAGTGTAGGCGACTGTTAAATAGACCGTAGGCCTATGTTAATGAGGCTGTAGGCGTCTGTAAAGACTGTGGACGACTGTAAACGTGTAACTGTTAGACATGCTGTGGGCGATTGTTAAGAGGTTGTGGGATACTGTTAAGCAGACTGTAAGCGACTGTTAAGGAGACTATAGGCGACTGTTAAGGAGACTATAGGCGACTGTTAAGGAGACTATATGCGACTGTTAAGGAGACTATAGGCGACTGTTAAGGAGACTATAGGCGACTGTTAAGGAGACTATAGGCGACTGTTAAGGAGACTATAGGCGACTGTTAAGGAGACTATAGTCTCAGTCACCTACAGTCTCCTTAACAGGCGACTGTTAAGGAGACTGTAGGTGACTGTTAAGGAGGCTGTAAGCAACTGTTAAGGAGACTATAGGCGGCTGTTAAGGAGACTATAGGCGACTGTTAAAGAGACTATAGGCGACTGTTAAGGAGACTATAGGTGACTGTTAAGGAGACTATGGGAGACTGTTAAGGAGACTATAGATGACTGTTAAGGAGACTATAGGCGACTGTTAAGGAGACTATAGGCGACTGTTAAGGAGACTATAGGTGACTGTTAAGGAGACTATAGGCGACTGTTAAAGAGACTATAGGCGACTGTTAAAGAGACTATAGGCGACTGTTAAGGAGACTGTAGACGACTGTTATGGAGACTATAGGCGACTGTTAAAGAGACTATAGGCGACTGTTAAAGAGACTATAGGCGACTGTTAAGGAGACTGTAGGCGACTGTTATGGAGACTGTAGGTGACTGTTAAGGAGGCTGTAAGCAACTGTTAAGGAGACTATAGGCGGCTGTTAAGGAGACTATAGGCGACTGTTAAGGAGACTATAGGTGACTGTTAAGGAGACTATAGGCGACTGTTAAGGAGACTATAGGCGACTGTTAAGGAGACTATAGGTGACTGTTAAGGAGACTATAGGCGACTGTTAAAGAGACTATAGGCGACTGTTAAAGAGACTATAGGCGACTGTTAAAGAGACTATAGGCGACTGTTAAGGAGACTGTAGGCGACTGTTATGGAGACTGTAGGTGACTGTTAAGGAGGCTGTAAGCAACTGTTAAGGAGACTATAGGCGGCTGTTAAGGAGACTATAGGCGACTGTTAAGGAGACTATGGGAGACTGTTAGGATACTATGAGCGGCTGTTAAGGAGACTATGAACGACTGCTAAGGAGACTATAGGCCACTGTTAAAGAGACTATAGGCGACTGTTAAGGAGACTATAGGTGACTGTTAAGGAGACTATGGGTGACTGTTAAGGAGACTATAGGTGACTGTTAAGGAGACTAGTTAAGGAGACTATAGGCGACTGTTAAGGAGACTATAGGTGACTGTTAAGGAGACTATAGGCGACTGTTAAAGAGACTATAGGCGACTGTTAAGGAGACTATAGGCGACTGTTAAGGAGACTATAGTCTCAGTCACCTACAGTCTCCTTAACAGGCGACTGTTAAGGAGACTGTAGGTGACTGTTAAGGAGGCTGTAAGCAACTGTTAAGGAGACTATAGGCGGCTGTTAAGGAGACTATAGGCGACTGTTAAAGAGACTATAGGCGACTGTTAAGGAGACTATAGGTGACTGTTAAGGAGACTATGGGAGACTGTTAAGGAGACTATAGGTGACTGTTAAGGAGACTATAGGCGACTGTTAAGGAGACTATAGGCGACTGTTAAGGAGACTATAGGTGACTGTTAAGGAGACTATAGGCGACTGTTAAAGAGACTATAGGCGACTGTTAAAGAGACTATAGGCGACTGTTAAAGAGACTATAGGCGACTGTTAAGGAGACTGTAGGCGACTGTTATGGAGACTATAGGCGACTGTTAAAGAGACTATAGGCGACTGTTAAAGAGACTATAGGCGACTGTTAAGGAGACTGTAGGCGACTGTTATGGAGACTGTAGGTGACTGTTAAGGAGGCTGTAAGCAACTGTTAAGGAGACTATAGGCGGCTGTTAAGGAGACTATAGGCGACTGTTAAGGAGACTATAGGTGACTGTTAAGGAGACTATAGGCGACTGTTAAGGAGACTATAGGCGACTGTTAAGGAGACTATAGGTGACTGTTAAGGAGACTATAGGCGACTGTTAAAGAGACTATAGGCGACTGTTAAAGAGACTATAGGCGACTGTTAAAGAGACTATAGGCGACTGTTAAGGAGACTGTAGGCGACTGTTATGGAGACTGTAGGTGACTGTTAAGGAGGCTGTAAGCAACTGTTAAGGAGACTATAGGCGGCTGTTAAGGAGACTATAGGCGACTGTTAAGGAGACTATAGGCGACTGTTAAGGAGACTATGGGAGACTGTTAGGATACTATGAGCGGCTGTTAAGGAGACTATGAACGACTGCTAAGGAGACTATAGGCCACTGTTAAAGAGACTATAGGCGACTGTTAAGGAGACTATAGGTGACTGTTAAGGAGACTATGGGAGACTGTTAAGGAGACTATAGGTGACTGTTAAGGAGACTATAGGCGACTGTTAAGGAGACTATAGGCGACTGTTAAGGAGACTATAGGTGACTGTTAAGGAGACTATAGGCGACTGTTAAAGAGACTATAGGCGACTGTTAAAGAGACTATAGGCGACTGTTAAAGAGACTATAGGCGACTGTTAAGGAGACTGTAGGCGACTGTTATGGAGACTGTAGGTGACTGTTAAGGAGGCTGTAAGCAACTGTTAAGGAGACTATAGGCGGCTGTTAAGGAGACTATAGGCGACTGTTAAGGAGACTATGGGAGACTGTTAGGATACTATGAGCGGCTGTTAAGGAGACTATGAACGACTGCTAAGGAGACTAAAGGCCACTGTTAAAGATACTATAGGCGACTGTTAAGGAGACTATAGGTGACTGTTAAGGAGACTATGGGAGACTGTTAAGGAGACTATAGGTGACTGTTAAGGAGACTATAGGCGACTGTTAAGGAGACTATTGGCGACTGTTAAGGAGACTATAAGCGACTGTTAAGAAGACTATAGGTGACTGTTAAGGAGACTATAGGCGACTGTTAAAGAGACTATAGGCGACTGTTAAAGAGACTATAGGCGACTGTTAAGGAGACTATTGGCGACTGTTAAGGGGACTATAGGCAACTGTTAAGGGGACTATTGACGACTGTTAAGGAGCGACTATGGCGAATCTGATAATGTGACTGTAAGGATACTTAAGGCGACTTACTTTAAGGCACTGTAAATAGAATTTAAGGCGACTGTAAAATTACTCCAAGGTGGCTGTAAAGAGATCCTATTGCGTTTGTAAATAGACTTTAAAGAAACTGTAAGATGTATCTTGGGGTTACAGTTAAAATTTATCTTAACATTTTTTTTAAAGAAATGTTTATGTGTGCTTCAACATCCCTCCAAATAAAAATACCTTTCCTTTTTTTTCGTTCACAGGACAATGTTTGAATTTCAACTGTGCCTGGATATTGGTATTGATGTTACGAAATTCCCTAACCTATTTGAGATCCCGAGGTCTATCCACATATCTTCCCCTCGACAATCACATCTATCTGCATAAACTCACCGGCATTGTTGTATCAGTATTGAGTCTCGTGCACACCGTAATGCATCTCTTCAACTTCTCCATAATTGTCGTCAACGATCCACAAATCAATGCCGGACATTATACCATTGGAGAATGGCTGCTGACAGATCGTCCCGGCTTATTTGGCCTTATACCCGGTTGTGCAAATCCCACTGGCATGGCCTTGTTTATTATTCTGCTAATTATGTATATTTGCTCACAACCTTTTGTGCGACGCAAGGGCTCCTTTGAAGTGTTCTATTGGACCCATTTGTTGTATATACCATTCTGGATATTGGTTCTGTTCCATGGTCCTAATTTTTGGAAATGGTTTTTCATACCAGGTATTATTTACACTGTGGAGAGAATTTTACGTTTCGTATGGATGCGTGGTGATCATGGCAAGACCTATATTAGTTCCGGTTTGCTACTACCCTCGAAAGTTGTTCATTTGGTTATAAAGCGTCCGAATAATTTCAATTTCCGTCCCGGAGATTATGTTTTTGTAAATATACCCGTTATAGCCAACTATGAATGGCATCCATTTACGATTAGTTCAGCTCCCGAACAAGAGGACTACATGTGGTTGCATATACGTACTGTGGGTGAATGGACCAATCGTTTGTATCGTTACTTTGAAAAGGAACAACAACGTTTACACAATGGCAAAATTATTGCCCATAAACAAGCGATACCCACCTCAAGTCTCCTACAAATCAGTGAAGAAAACTCCAAAACAATTTCGTCCACACCCCAAACAGATTTTCTCGCCCAAAACCTTGCGAAAATTCAACAAAGTTCGAGTTTCGATTCGAATGTGGTTGCAAAGACACTGCAGGATGTTCCCACAAATCCAATGAGACCACCACGTCACAATTATACACCTTCAAAGCTGGCCACCGAAAGCATTAGCGCCAGCCATGTGGCGGAACAGGCACGTGCCAGTAATAGCAGTAGCGGAGATCGTATACGAAGCTTCAAGAAAACCTTACAAAGGACATTTTCACGCAAGGATGTAGCATCGAAAGAGAAACGTTTATCGGGTCACTCAAATGATGGATTTGTGACGGACGACAGTGATTTAGCCAGCATCACAGAATTGGGTAAACGAAGGAAATTAAAGAAATTAATGGGTGATAAACCACCGCTGGAGAAAAGTGTTTCCCTGCCCGACATAGCAGTCAAGACGAAAAGGCGGGAACGTTTTAAGGCGTAAGTAGACAAAAAAAAACCTTTTAGGGAAAACTAAGCATTTTTTTTTTTGTGGTGTGGAAACAAGGGAATTCTGAGGCTGATAGGTCCCCGTTTTGGCATAGCCCTTATTTAACGGTAAAAATTGTTATTTGTAGATTATAATGGTCTCTAGCTCCGGTGGCGAAACATTGTATTTATAGGTCCACGTTTTGTATAGCCCACATATAACGGTACCTCCCGATATTCGGTATTGTGATAAATTTCTCCACATTTTTTACGGATTTGTCTAAAAATAGGTATTTGTAGTTCATAATGGCTTCTAGCTCCGGTAGCGAAACATTGTATACATAGGTCCACGTTTTGTATAGCCCACAATAACGATACCTCCCGATATTCGGTATTTTGATGATTTTGGCCACATTCTTTACGGATTTGTCTAAAAATAGGTATTTGTAGTTCATAATGGCTTCTAGATCCGGTGGCAGAACAATTAGGTCCACGTTTTTATATAGCGCACATATAACGAAACCCACCGAAATTCGACATTTTCATAATCCTAGTCATATTTATCCACGAAATTGTTTCAAATTTGAAGATTTGAGAAGATTTGGTAGATGACAATCCTTGAAGTATAAAATTGTCTATAGAGGTTCCCGTTTTCGTACGGCTCCCATACAACGGCCTCACCCACTTTATGGCTTTTTGAAACACGTTTGAATTCAGATACTTTTATATAAAAAGGTTTTCTTTACCCAAAGCTGGGGGGTATTAAAAGTTCTGCCCGGCCAAATCTGTTGGATTTACCCTATAATTATTTTTTGACCCCTTTTTTGGGGTCAATTCAAAAAGAGGATCTATGTAACCCATTTCAAAAAAAAATCAATACAAACCTAAATAATATTTGAGCAAAATTGTATTGAACTACTTGATTACATTCGGAAGCTAGAGTGAATACCAGTGTTGTCTTTTAGTTTTTGGGAACTGAGGTTGAATTCCATTATCTTTGAATTGAGTTAATTATTTTCAAAAAAATCTTTCCTTCCTTAGCTTACACACTTTGGGACGTTCAGAGTCGGAAAGATCATTTGATGAGACACGCATACGCAGAGCACGACTAAGTTCTGGTTTTGCCTATATGAGTCCACAGAATAAGTCACTGGCACAGAGTTTCCGCTACATGCGCAACAAGCCCACAATTATTGCCTTCAAAACGCCAAGTGTGGAGGAGAGTGAAACAGAATTTACACCAAAACAAAATCACACGGAACAGACATGTAATGCCATACAGGCGGAGGAGGGAAGAGTATCCACAGGTAGAACTTTGGAAAACCAAATTCACTTTTTAAGGTTTATTAAACTTTGTTAACATTCCAGATCACAGCAACAACAACAAGGACACTAATCATGATGATGCCGATATGGTGGTATCAAAGCCTCTGGAGGTAAGGATTTTAAACAGTTGTCTAAGAACCAATATGCTTGGCATAGAAACTCATTGCGTAAAAATACTTCAAAAATAACCTCACAACAAAACAGCTTACTTTTCCGTTGATAAATTCGAAAATTGAAATTAAAAAAAAAAACCTGCTTCAACACAACATTTCATACCAATATTTTAGGATCACACCAACCACCACTACAACAGTAGATCATCAACAACAACAAATAACCGAGTAGGACGTTTTAGACGTCCCACATTTTTGCGTTCATTATCGACCTCCATTAAAAATCGGGGCAGTAGTGGCAGTATACCCGCCAATGGTACAACTAACTCTGGTGGCAAGGTTATACTTGATGCTGGCGTGTTAGAGGTTTGGGCTTCTTTTTAAAATACATTTGAAATCTACTCAACATTTGAAATTGGAAAATTCGTAATATATTTAAATTTTTCTTTGCACATCTCAGATATTCATTGATGGTCCCTATGGTGCCCCATCGTCACACATCTTTATGGCCCAGCATGCGGTGTTGATTGGCACCGGCATTGGTGTCACACCCTTTGCCTCGATTTTACAATCCATAATGCATCGCTATTGGAAGGCCCGCCATCATTGTCCCCGCTGCCTGTTTGAATGGGCCAGTGATATACCGAAATCGGTAATGAATCTACGCAAGGTGGATTTCTTTTGGATCAATCGTGACCAGAGGTCATTTGAATGGTTTGTCAATTTACTGTCACAATTGGAAATTGAACAGGCAGAGCTGGGTGGAGCCATGGAGAGGTAAAGGGAATTATGAGGTAAAGAAATTGTATTTAATTTTATTTCTTTTTTCATTCCTAGATTCCTGGATATGCACATGTATATAACAAGTGCCCTACAACGTACCGATATGAAGGCTGTGGGTCTGCAATTGGCCTTGGATTTGTTGCATGAAAAGGTGAGTTTAATTCTAAAAGTCCCAAAACAAAGGGACTGTTGCCGAATGAGGTTATAAAAGTGAATGCAAACATGTTAAAAAGTGTCAGTCGGTTTTGCCGACAGATATCTTGAGGCAATTGGCTGGGGGCAATGTTCGATTATTTAACAAGTAAAAAAACATTAAGTTCGGCCGGGCCAAACTTTTAATACCCTCCACCTTAGGGTAAAAGAAACATTAGAAGAAATGTGGCAAAAACCATTAAAATGCCGATTATGGGGAGGTACCGTTATATGGGGGCTATACCAAAACGTGGACCTATAATTACAATGTTTCGCCACCGGAGCTGGAACCCATTATGACCCACAAATACCAATTTTTAGACAAATCAGTGAAAAAATGTGGCAAAAACCATCAAAATACCGAATATCGGGAGGTACCGTTATATGGGGGCTATATCAAATCATGGACCCATGCATGCAATGTTTCGCCACCGGAGCCGGAACCAATTATGACCAACAAATACCATTTTCGAACAAATCCCTGAAAAAATGTGGCAAAAATCATCAAATTACCGAATATCGGGAGGTACCGTTATATGGGGGCTATACCAAAACGTGGACCTATAATTACAATGTTTCGCCACCGGAGCTGGAACTCATTCTGACCAACAAATACCGATTTTCAGACAAATCCGTGAAAAAATGTGGTAAAAAAAACTAAAATACTAAATATCGGGAGGTACCTTTATATGGGGGCTATACCACAACGTGGACCTATACATGCAATGTTTTGCCACACGCTCAGGGACCCGCTATGACCTACAAATACCAATTTTAAGACAAATCCGTGAAAAAATGTGGCATAAATCATCAAAATACCGAATATCGGGATTTACCGTTATATGGGGACTATACCAGAACGTGGACCGATATATCTCATTTTCAATACCAACCATCCTAGACACAATGCAAATATTTTGGAGCTCTACGTCAAATAATGTGGGCTGTATCGTGATTTCAACAGACAGACAGACAGACGGACAGACAGACAGACGGACATCGTTAAATCGACTTAGAATTTTATGCTGATTATGAATATATATACTTTATGGGGTCTAAAACGAATATTTAGGGATGTTACAAACGGAATGACAAAGTTAATATACCCTCCTTTCCAAGGTGGAGGGTATAAAAATATTTTGAATTCTGTTATCATTATTAAAATGTTTGACCCTTTATGATGTAGGTTCCGAAGGAATGAGTCAATATTGAACATTTCGTATCGGACCTAAATAAAGATGATATTAATGGTGCGACGTGTCACGTTTGGACTACATTGGTTACTTCCTTGACTTTATATGAAATATGTGATAATTTTTAAAAAATGGTAAAATGTGTGTCTTAGTCGTCAGATATAGTCGATCAACAGATACAAATATAAGTATGGATCAAATAACAAGAAAATCGAACATTTATATCCAATTTTATGCGAAATCATAAATTCCATCGCTAACTTGTTTCGCAAGTTATGTATTGGAAATTGTGACCCTTTGTGGGTGATGTATTCAAAATTTTGAACCGATATATTCCATCTTCGCACCAGACCTTGGACTGATAAAAATATTGTGATATGTGTAATTTGAAGACAATCAGAATCTTACATCACATTTTATATGAGTTATAATTATTAAAAAATTTGACCCTTTGTGTGGAAGGTACTTGATGGAGTGGGCCTATATTGTCCATCTGCGCACCTGACCCAGCTCTGATGCAAATATTAGGATTTGCAAAGTTGAAGCAAAATCGGTTTATCGATTCTCTTTCTGTGCAGTTAAATATTTTTTTTGAAAATTTCGACCTTTTGTGGGAGAGGTACCAGAAGGAGTGGACCGATATACTCCATCTTCACACCAGACGATGGAGTAATAAAAAATATTGTGATATGTGTAATTTGAAGACAATCGGAATCTTACATCACATTTTATAAGAGTTAGAATTTTTCAAAATGTTGACCCTTTGTGGGGAAGGTACTTGAGGGAGTGGACGTATATTGTCCATTTTCGCACATGGCCCAGCACTGATGCAAATATTTGAATTTGCAAAGTTTGAACAAACTCGGATCATCCTTTCTCTTTCTGTGCAGTAAATTATTTTCTTTGAAATTTTCGACCTTTTTTGGGGGAGGTACCAGAAGGAGTGGACCGATATACTCCATCTTCACACCAGACCTTGGATTAAAAAAAATATTGTGATACGTGTAATTTGAAGACAATCGGAATCTTACATCACATTTAATAAAAGTTAGAATTATTCAAAATTTTGACCCTTTGTGTGGAACGTACTTGATGGAGTGGACCTATATTGTCCATTTACGCACCTGACCCAGCTCTGATGCAAATATTAGGATTTGCAAAGTTGAAGCAAAATCGGTTTATCGATTCTCTTTCTGTGCAGTTAAATATTTTTTTTGAAAATGTCGACCTTTTTTGGGAGAGGTACCAGAAGGAGTGGACCAATATTGTCCATTTCCGAACTCGATCTAAATTTGATAATAATATTACGATGTACCAAATTTGGATTAAATCGGATACTCCCTTCGAGAGTTATCGTGCGCACAAGCCAGCCATACAGACAGACGGACGGACGTACGGACATCGCTAGATCAACTCCAAAAGCCCTAAAACGGATTTGGTCCAAAGAGACCTAGGGTCAAAAACCGTAATTTCAAAGCAAATTTTCTCCGCGTCAAATGATGTATACCCTCGCTAGCCATATGGCTAAGGGTATAATTAACTTTTTTTATAAAAAACAGACTCCGAAAACATGGAGTTTTTTTACAGCAAAATCAATTAACAAGTACTGAGAAAAATATATTTTTTCAGTCCTTATGTTTTTCCAATAAAAAAAAAACAGTTCAGAAAATTGGAATGTTGACATGAATGCGCAATAGTGGATTCGGATTTTTTTTATTATTTAGAACAATTCATAATACCTTCAAACAGACAACAAAGATATCAAATTTGAACAAAGAATACCCCTAAAATACACTCCGAACTGAAAATAGTCTCTTTGTTAACCTCTTAATGCGATATATTGGTCTAACAGCAGAAGAGGTCCAAAGGTGTAAGAGAAATCTTATCATGCAGGTCCGAATCGTATTCATACTGAAACAGCAATGAGGTCACCTAGTCACCCAGTGAACACCACCCTCAGAGTCCAAACCAAATACATTGAAGCAAATTGACATTTGTTGATTTTAAATAGAGACAGATCCATGACAAATATAATAGCCATAACAGAGTTCCCTCCGAACATAGAACGACAATAAAGTCTTGCTTCTAAAAGCTCATTAGACATACATCATCCACAGCCTCCGAACTGGGGGTATTCATATGATAATCAAATACATTTTTAAAAGTATCTCTTAAATGAGCCGTTAAACAATTAAAAGCCTACAGCCCACAATTGTGTAGATACTTTTGCAGCAAAGCTCATGTCAAATGTTGGCATATGAAATTCAAACAATCTTTCTTCAAGAACTCGTAATTATATTTCGTGGCAAATTCCAACAAATCACCACATTTCCACATCAAAAAAATATTTTTAATGAACCACGACAAATTTAGTGACAACTAATTTAAAAAAATAGTGAGCGAAGGACAATGTAATGAGATCTGATTTGACTTACCTTTCGATAATGAAATGTTATCAATTTAGTTGCAAATGATGAGGGATGATTGATTGATTGAATTTAATAATGATTGTGCAAAACGATAACAAAGTATAACATGCAAACTGAAAAGAAAAATAAATTTTGATTTGAATTTTTCTGCAGATTACATTAAAATAATAAATAAATTTAGAAAATATTAAACTAAACACTACGGAAATAATTATTGCGCAATAAAATCAAATCATGTGTTAAAAATATTTCTTGTCTCAGCAATTCTCTGTGGGCAAGAATTATGAAATTTCCATTTATGAATGCGTTTTTTTTTTTCTTTTTATTTCATTTCAGGGTAAACGTGATCTTATTACCGGCCTTAAAACCCGCACCAATGCTGGACGTCCCAACTGGGACAAGGTATTTAAACAACTGCAGGCCCAAAAGAAGGGAAAAGTTACCGTTTTCTATTGTGGACCACCACAATTGGCCAAAACGTTGCGTATCAAATGCGATCAATATGGTTTTGCATTCCGCAAAGAGTGTTTTTAGATATGACATACAAACGTGTGTGTGCGTGTTTTTGGACAACACTTATGATGATACTCTGCTCACCCTCTCATTTTAGTAATAATAACTTTTTATCGTGTAAACTCTCAAATAAGTTAAAAAAATTTTGGCATAATACAAAGGTAAAAGGGTTAAAAATGTAAAAAAAAAACACTATTCTAAATTCTTATATTAATTATTTTAAGTATGTAAATTAATATTTCCATTGTGTGTTTTTTTCTTTTATTGTTTTTGCATAATAATTTATTTGTATTTTTTAATGTAAACCTCTTATATGTATATACATAATGTTTTTTTTTTGTTGAAATATTCTGTTTTGTTTGTTAACTTATGTTTAAAATTATCAATAATAAAAAAACGCCGTTAGTACTAAATATCAATCTTAGAATATGGGTTTGTTTGATATAATGCCTCCAAAAAAAGTCTCAATACATTCCAGCTAATGTATAATGGTCTAGGACCCCATCAACAACAACAAAGTAATTACCTTTCTTCCTCTCATTTGTGTGCTTCAATTTCTTTGCCATATGGCAAAATTAATAGTGGTTGGCTGCGGTTTCCTCTCAATGGTTATAATTTCATCAACCACATTTTCAACATTATAAAATTCTTTAAGTTCGGCAATAGCTTGTTCTTCGATTTGTGTTAAAGCCAACGATTTGTTGCGTACACGATCGTAGTATTCTTTTTGCCGCTTTTCTTCGGCTAAAATTTGTGTAAAACTATTTGGTGCCGCTGTTGCAGGGGGCGATGTGGCTGTTTTGCTATTACTTCTCATCATATTGGCAAAAGAGGTAGGGTCATATGAACTTCCGGTGGGGACATCGAAATCAATGTCATTTAGACCGCCTGGTGATTGAGCCATTGGCACATTACCCCAAGCATTTTGTGGCACTGGCATTGCTTTCGTTTCACTAACAGCAATGGGTGCCCGCCAGGATGTTAAATTTGAATTTTCCGATGACAAGCGTTTGCGTTGCTTTTGTGATAACTTTTCTCTGGGCGGTGTAGTCAATTCGGCAAGATTTATATTATATGATACCTTTGAGGTTAAGTCTTTTTCAGGCGAAATATCCTTTGTTGTTGTTGTTGCTAATTCTACGGATTTATTAAGGCTAGTAAATGCAGTGTTACAATTGCTTGTGGATGCATTAATTTCTTGTTTCATTATTTCATTAGATTTGATGGCAGCCTCAACGATGGGGTTTGTCTTTTTCTTTTGTTCCTTTTTATCCACAACTTTCATCCATGATTTCGCCTCCATTTGCAACTTATTTGCCACATTTTCAGCATCTTTTATTGCTGCCGATTTCTCATTGGTCTTTTCTTTTTCCCTACTTTCGGACATATTCAATGTCTCCATCATTGAGGTTATGGCCTCTCTTTCATATTGTCTGGTCGTTGTTTGCTTGGTCTTATGTTCCTTCGCCTTGGATTTATTCATGGCACGATATTCCGATTGCTCATCTTCATCCATGCGATAACTTAGGTCCACTTGAAAATCTTCCACAAAACTCATTAGGCACTCATCACCCACAGCCTCCGAACTGGGGGTAATCATGCGATAATCAAATACATTCTTAAACGTATCTCGGTAATGGGCATTTATGCACTTAATAGCCTCCGGCTCACAATTGTATAGACTCTTTTGCAGCAAAACTCGTGCCAAATTTTGGCATATAAAATCCAAACAGCCTTTCTTCAAGAACTCACAATTATACATCGCCGCAAATTCCAACATGTCACCACATTTCCGTATGGAAATTTTGTCCAACAATAGAATCTCACACACCTTACGGAGCCGTTCAATAAAGAACTGATCACAAAATACAATCATATTGTAGAGGAACGTTTCACGATATTGTTGTTTGCGAAAATGTTCCACATCTTGACTGTAGAGGAACTCGATAATGGCCAGCATATATTCATAGGGTACGGTGGTTAAATTAATTGTGCTCTGTTCAGCCCAGGTGTGTGTGAACATCATTTCAAAATATTCCAAACGTGCCACCAAAACACATTTATGGGCTGGTAGTTCAACATTATTTTCACATATAATGCGTATGTCATAGAGATTGGGGTAGTCGGTTAGGCGCAGGCGATTAAAACGATATTTGGACTTGTCCACAATGTGTGGCAGATAGAAGGGGCGTTGTTGCAAGTAACTAGAAAAACGCAATAGAGATTTTTTAGAATGCCTCGCACATTTGTTGTGGTCACACTTACTGTTTCAAATAGTTGGCCAAATTTGTGATATGAAATTGTTCCACAAAATTCAAAAAGATTTCACAAACTTCATCCAATTCCGAGGGAGCATCGGTGTGCAAACTGCTTTGAATATCTTCCAAGTCTGCAATGGAATAATAAAATTAAAATAATAAAGTAATTTGAGATGATTTCAGCTACATACCCTGCTCATTTGGCAAATAATTTGAATAGATAAATTTCAAAATTATTTCAAACATTTTCGATGTCAGCAATTGCATATTCAAATAAATATCCTTATCTTCATACGAGGAAATCAATTCCTTTAGACCCGGCGCTCGGGCATGAATTAGAAACTTGTGGGCTGGAAACTTTTCACCATCCACATGAAATAATATATCATGAATGGCATCGTATTCGGAGACATCATGATAAAGTTTCTTGAAAGTATATTCTTCTGGATTCAATGTGGGCGCTTTAAAATATTTCATCGACGATTCTTGCAGGCAGGCAAAGGAGGCGAAATCATCATCACAAAAGATATCAACAGCACGATCTATTTGTATGATATGTTGTAAATCGATGCGTATCATAAAATCTTTGGCCATTTCTGAGGAACGATAATCACTGCGTGACCATATGTTGCCTAGATCTTTTGATTGGCCAGATCCCTCGGCAGCATTGTAATATTGTGGCAGTGGAACTTGTTGGCATTTGCCCTTGTATACATCCCCTTGGGATAAAATTAAAACTTGATTGCCTTTGTAGAATATTTTGTCAATTTGTGTTAGGCGGATTTGTGAAAAGGAACATCTGTCACGGAGGAAGAAAAAATCAATTAGAAAAAGTCTTAAAAAAGCATTATCATTGCATTTTACCTATAAAAGTTTTGTGTCAATTGATACCATAAGAACACCACATTGGTTTGGGTCAACACCAATAACTTAAGGGCACTGGCACTGCCTTTTTCCGACTTTGCGCTATTGCCCTCAATAACAGCCACACTTTTCAAGGACTCATAGCTGAAAAAAAATTTTGGAATTACTTTAAATTAAGAAGTGAATTTTAGTGAGTCCTACTTACTTTGGCGCTTTAATAACTTTCATTTTGTAATTGTGGAAAAGTATAATATTATTATCCTTGGTCACAACCACTGTGGCAGCATTGTTGGCTTCAACAAATTGTATGGACGTTTTGGCAGGTAATTTCATCTAAATACAGTAATATTTAATAACATTCATTTTGGAAATATTGCTTATGTCTTACCATTTTTGGTACTGGCACCGTTTTGGTATTGGCATCAAATCCCATTTGTCCCAAATTAGTACCCCAAACATAAATGCATTTCTCCGAATAGGCCAATGAATGATAGTCCCTTGCTATGACCTTTTGTAGGCCATCGGCTCCTTGATCTCTTAGTGATACAACTTCTTTGAAATTCAACAATTTACCACCCGCATCTCGCACACCCAACTGATGATCTTCATTAAGACCACACGTAAACACCAATGAATGATTGGTCAAGACCAGTGAATGTTTGCGAGAAACACTTATGCATATAATTTCTTCTCCAGCATTTTTAAGTGTAATTTTCACCCTCTTCGGGGTGCTTAGGGTATTTTCATTGCCAATACCCAGACGACCACCTTTGCCATGGCCCACAGAATATAAATGTGATTTTTTGTCCAAAAATAAACTGTGATAGGCTCCCAGTGCCACCGATTGTATGGAGATTTGTTCTTTTCTAAAGTAATCCAGCATTTGTGGAACATGATCTGTGCCCTGATCATTGTTAACGCCTAAATTGTAGTTTTTATTGGAGCCCCATACCAACAGTTCATTATTGGGGGAACTGAAATGAAAAAAGGAAGTAGAAATTATTCATTAAAATAAGAAGAAGTTTGTCTATTTAAGCTATCCAATACATTCGGATATATCTGTTAGCTAGTAACCAGAATGTCAGACATTAACAAGGAAATATACAGACGGATTTAGTAAGGATGTGTTCAATTTTTTTTTTTTTTTTTTTTTTGAATTGTTCGGTTCGAGTTAAAATGCTTAGTTTGGCTTTATCGTTATTAAGAGCACAACATTTTTTAACTTAAACCTACTTTCACAATACCGCCTACATGATATAGCCGGTGAAAAGTACTGGGATTGAAAATTTTCTTAGCACCGGATTATAATCATATAATTCACAGAACTTTAAAGGTCCATAAGTCAGAATTATGAAATTCCCCATAGCTGTATTCTGACATAATCCAATTGGAAATTATCTAGTTAGATCTAGTGATGTTCCACATTTTCACTTACGCTTTAAATTGTTTTGGGAAATCGCACATACGGCAAACTTGTTGCAACGGAGATCGTGTGTCCTCATCCAAAATGTCAATGCTCGCCCCATAACGCAACAGCAAGACGGCACAATCAATACAACCATAAAATATGGCCCGGTGCAGAGGTGTACTACCCGATTCGAAGTCCCGGCTACTGATAATGGCACCGTGATTAAGCAGCCATTCTAATATATCATAACGATCCACTGAGGCAGACAAGTGAACAGCGGAACGCCCCTACAAATGTAATGAAAACGTATTTATGATTCAAAATTATATTAATTATTTAATTTACCAAATCATCAACAATGTCTGCAAAATTGCAACATGTTTTGGCCACATAGGCTGCCAATTTTTCGTCGTCCATAGACCGCTTAGTTAAGGCATTGGTTATAACATTTCCATGCTCTCGCAATCTACACTTGCGTGTGCAATCGTATTCATAGTTTTTTGGACTGAACATGCCTCCAAATAATTAAAAATACTTAATTTATATTTATCAAAATAATAAAATCCTTTAGACGCCACACACACTTTACTGACTATAGAAGACTAAATTAATGTGACTTGGTAACTCTAATACGAAAAGTGAGAGGTAAAAAAAATAACCAAGAAAAATGCAGAATCAAAACAAAAAAGCGAAGGTATAAGGGATCCAAAGATCGAAAGTGAGAAGAGAGCAAAGAGTGCAAAATTTCGGCATCTGTATCTCTGGAACGAAATTAAACAGGTGTTCCACAATAAACAACACACCAAATTTAAAAACGTTCCAATGGAAAATACCTATGAGTTGTGACTAGGCGATGCGTTTACCATTTTTAACGTTATGTTCTCTATTATACTAAGGCACTGCCATCAATCAAATTATTGTAACAAATCAACTGTGGTTATTCCGGATGTCCAAATGTTCAGTTGTTTTTGAATTAATACAAAATATTTGATCCCACAGCTGCCACACAGAGCGCGTTCAACAAACTACTTACTGCAAGTCATCTGTTTTCTAATTGAGTGACAAAGATTTGAGTAAATAATCATAAAATTACACAGACAGACCTATGGAATTACATTACTTATAGTAGTACATAGCTAACGTACAAAAATGACGCAGTTAAAAAAATATTTTAACCGGCTATAAACAGAGTTGGCAAAGGAACAGAGCTGGAGTGCGCTTTGAAGAGATTATTTTGTTATTCCAAAGTTCCCCAGGTTTTCCGGCAAAGGAAAGTCTAAAAATGAATGCACAATTAAAATCAGATCTGGAAAATGCCCGCCAATGTTTGTTGGACACATATAACTTGGCGTTAACCTTTGGTGGCCCTGGTAAGCAATTGAGAGTCAAATATTGGAGCCACATACCTTGACTTTGGGGCTTGGTCAATGATTTTAAAGATGTTGGTGGTTAGTTGAAATAAATCATAATCAAACAGCAAACACCATTAAACTGGATGGCAAAGTATCGCAAAAAAAACCCAACCGTATAATAAAGTAGATTTCGGAATAGTCTAAAATAGGCTAAGAGATTAAATTTAGTATTTGAAATCCAAAGAAACTGAAATATTTTTTCTTTTTTAGATACTCAAGATGTTGAATCCTATCTGAATTTAGCCGCGGATCTATCTGTCATCAGTGAACAGTTCAAGCGCCACGAAGCAAGCTTGGAACTTGCCAAGGAAACGAGAACAATGAAAGAATTTGTTGATGAATACAAGAGGCAACAACAAAATTTGGAAAAGAAAAAATGTAATGCCAAAAATACATCAGAATTTAAAAACTTCCGCCAACAACTTATGCAAATGAAAAGTTTACAAGATGAGGCAAGTGCATCAGGCAGAGGAGCTAGTCGAGTTGAATGTGATGAATTCGTTATGGAAAGTGAAATTAATGTATACGATCCGATAACGAAACAACGAATGGCAAATCCGGTCAAGAATACCTTGTGTGGTCATCATTATGAAAAATGTTACATTTTGGAGGCTATAAGTGTAAACAAGCGCTTGCGTTGTCCAGTTGCTGGTTGTGGAAATAAACAGTTTGTTCAACAACAGCATTTGGTTGATGATAACTTGTTCAAGGTACGTCTACAAAAATTAGCCGAACAGCAGGAGTCGGAAGAAGAAGAATAGAGATGAAAACTGTTATAGCTGCACATTGAATTTGCCTACAATTTCACTTACATTTATAAAATAAAATGTGTTTTAAATAAAAATGTTGAATTTTTAACAAATTTCTTAGAAAATCCATTGAGGCCATTGTGTTTAATCTTTTTATAGCATATTTATTGATTGATAGTTTCATTTCTAAGTTTGTATGTTTTTATATCCTTACCACTAATCTTAAATTAACGCATCATGAATTGCATTTTTTCTGCATCTTCCGTTCCTCACCAGAAATAGCTCAATCCATGTCAATTCATCATCAATCGGCTTGCGAAATATTTTGAGAGGCACTAATAAGAGTATCGCGCAAATCCTTAGTACTTTGTATATGTACTCGTACCGTATTCAAAAATGTGGGATATGGCATTGGGCCGGGGTTGTCTTGCAAATAGGGTTCCGTACGTGAAGGAGCCACAGCACCGGGCATATAATGTTGGCTTGACGACAATTGTTGCATGCATTGCATGACAGTTTTTAGCTGCAACTCAATTTGATCACAATAGGCATAGAATTCTTCGAGATGTTTATCGAATTTGGACGAATTTATAATCTCGCGTTTCAAGTTGTCGGTCAGGTTATTTTGTTGCAAAGTGAAAGCGGCCGCTCGAAATGTTGTCAGCAAGGACTCACGCATTGGTGCATATAGGATTTTGACTTTGGAAACATTGTCCAGCTTATCGGCCTGTTGTTGTTGCTGCTGTTGCTGTTGTTGAGGATTTGGGGCCATTTGTTGTTGCTGCTGGGGCTGTGGTTGTTGTGGTGAGGACTGCATCAAAGGAGAGACGCCCATTGTGTTCGGACCAACACCAACTCCGCCCATTTGCTGTTGCTGCTGTGGCATAGCATGCATATTCATATTGGGATTCATGGTCGTTGGTATATAGCGATATAAAACTTGGAAAACAATCGAAACTACTCCCGTCTGCTCTTTAATGCACCAGAAACTACATTAACAGATAACAAGACCGAATAAATGTTTAATCGTCGGCGGTTCCGTAAATAAGACGGCGTTCAATATTGTATGCGTCTGGCGGCACAACAGTGAGGAAAATAAATGTTAAGGGCCGTTAATACAGTTCTCTTTTTATACCCTTATTATTTGTTGTAATAAAGTCCACGACCCAAACATTCGTACCTCCTGCCCATGTCCCCCCAAAAAAACAACAATAATACGTTCAGTCATGGTACTGATATTTTATAAATAAAAATCAAAAAATTCCATTTCACATTCGATAAAATTAATTCTTTAGAGTAAACGTAAACGGCAATTGGGAGCGCCACATTGGCAATATAAAACTTTACCAGGAACCACGCCAACTTCATAATTATAATTCCATGTTAATTCTGTGCCAGCACGTATATTACAGGAAGCAAAGAAAGCCACCCATGGGAAGCGTAAATCATGTGTGTCGACAAAAACATTTTGTACAAACATATTGGGTGAACATGAATGCTGCAAAACAAAGACAATTTAAAAAAACCAAGTTGAGGAAAATTTTTAAATATACCCACATTGAAATATCGCCCCAAATTACCAGATATTTTAGCATCCATGACATAGCAAGCCTCATCCTTGCCATAGAGTTTGCGTATGGAACTATGTGGGATCGTAAACAAAAGTTAAATGTTTAATACTGTAATATTTAATCTTTTTAATATATACTCACTTCTCCCTCACAGAATCTTCATTCATATCTGCATTGGGATTAAAGTTAATAACTTGTCTTTCCTGTGAATCTTCATTATTGGAAGTAGCTGATTTATTTTGCTTTTTGGCCCGTGTCAAAAATGATTTGCTTGGTGTAAAGTCGTCATCTAAGTCGGGTTGATAGGGTTCCTGAAAAAAAGAAATTCACAGTCATTGGAAAACAAATTGATATTTTTCAATCTTGGCTTACCTCCTCCTCAGGCTCTGGTGGTTCAACCTCAGATTCATAGCCTTCTTTAATCTGTTCGGCAACTTCAATATAATCCAACTCAGCAAAGTACTCATCTCCGGCATCTTGACCACCCTAAAAGCAAAATACAATTAAAATAAAATCTATAAATTACATTTAATATCTTACCTCATTTGCCTTTGCTTCAGTCAACAAATGGCCTGCATAAATGCACACAAAACTGCCGCGTGGTACATCATTAATACAACGAAGACCCCATCCTCTATTGGACGTCTTGAATACTTGTAGTTTAATTTGCAAAGAATGTTGGACAACACGGTTCAAACAATTCTGTTTGCATTTGCAGCGAGCATTACATTCATAAATTCCTGTTGGCACATGATCCAACAGACGTTTATATTGATAGCCCACTTCATCGGGCGGAGTGTTTGGATTACCGTATTTGGCTCCAGCCAATGTTAATTGCCAGCAAGAACATTTCGATTTGTCCGAGCAATCATCTTCACAATCACAACCCACAAAGAATTCAGGGTCGGTGTTAATGTGAACACCTTCCGTGGGTATAACTTTGGCGGAGTATTTACATTCAGGTGGCAATGTGTTGTCGTAATAATTTACCAATGGTATGGCCATTTTTTCTTGGCCATTGGATATGTCGCGTTTCTGAACAATGGCACTGTCAATAACATACTCAGCCAGGCAATTGATTTCAGGACTAAAATCAAAATTGTCCACATTCAAAGTATTATTGGTTGTGCGCAAATAATGGCGCAACTCTTTCATGTTTCTCATGATCTTGCCACAAGGACCGCGGTAGGTGACAACTTTTTTGATTTTTTGTCTCAGAATAAAACGTTCCCAGCCAGAGAGAAGAGGTTTCGACAGGGGACTGTAGGCACTCAAATTATGAGTAATTTGGATGAGACATGCTGGAGAACATTTGTGCGGTTTATATTTGCGCGGTGGTAGATTTCTTTTAGCTGTGTAATATACAACCTAGAAAGGGATTGTGCTTAAAATTCTATCCAAAACTAATACATTAATTCCCAACTAACCTTTCCTTTGGGTTTATTTTCATCTTCCAGATAAATTGTAGAATTGTTCAAATGTTTAACGGGCGGTGTTGGTGGCTGTTGGGCAGATGTTGTCGAAGTATTATTCATCATCGATTCTGGACGTCCAAAAGTTTTACGTGCTACAGCTCTATTCGTTTCATTTGTTTTTTCAGTTTGTTGCTGTTGTTGCTGCTGCTGTTGTTGTTGCTGCTGTTGTGCAGAGGATTCTTCATCTTCTGTGTAACGTATAAACGGTTCTGTGCGCTGTTCAAATAATGGAAATAATGATAATCTAAAGCTCTTGTAACATTCCAACTATCCTTCAAACTTACTCTAGAAAGTCTTGAAACCGGTAATGCTGAACTTTTTTGCAGGCTTTTTTGATATTCTTTGAATACGGGACCTAAGCGTAAGGAACCACGATATATCCATTCTGTGTGACTTTTACTACCCTCAAATTGCATAAGAACCAGACTGCAATCAATGTCAACAACACGAGCATGCAACCAATAGCCATTTGATTCGGTATTCATTGACTGGCCTTTTTGGGTTTGAACCATGGGGCGATTTATAGAGTATTGTGTAAGATATTTTTGTATAAAGTCTCTTGATGCTGGATGTACATCCTCCCAAACATTTTCCGAAACGCTGCACACTAGTCGCACATCCTTGTGGTAGACATATTGAGTGTAGCCATCATCATAAAATATTAAATATCTACAAGAAAGGGAAGAAATAGCCATTAAATAATTTATATCTACGTAATTGAATAATTTTACCTAAATTTATTATTGGGTTTCAAGGGCTCAGCTATAATACCAGGATAGAAAGCACTTTGAACATTGATTTTTTCCCGTCCCCGGGCCAATGAAGTGGCATCGAAGTAGGCAATTACACGGGTACCTAAAACAAACAAACATACAACACCCAAACATACAAAATATATGACATACTGCACTTACCAATGGGAAGTCTAACCGTCGGAGGATCACAATATGCCAGATACTTTGAGGGCACAGTTTTTAGAGTTGTACTTTGTGCTTTCAGGAACTTAATTCTATAATATTTGACATTCTTGACAGCCAAGTTTCCACCCTCCACAAATTCAACCACCTTGCAGGGAACCCAGCTAGCGATAGCGTTGTTTTTGACTGCATAATATATTCCATTGAGTTGTATGGCAGGTCTTTCAATTTCTCCCACTGGAGGAATGGGCTGGTAATAATAAAATGTTATTATTTCTTTTTTTGTAAATACTTATTAACAAATTAATGTCACCTGCACTTCTTGTTGAGATCCCTCTAGGCTCATAACGCGACCACTATTCAAATCCAAAGGCTGCAGTTGGCGTATTTTGATTTTGGGGCATGAGTATAGGCCTTCATGCATTTTATCAGCTTTACGTTGCAGAGACTTTAGTTCATTGTCTACATATTCAGTTTCCCTTTCTAAGCGTTTTAAACGCTCAGAAAGTATTGTCTTTGACCAGGTCAATTGATTTTGTATATCAACACGGTCCAATACAGATTTGATGCTATTGTGCAACTCTCTTTCAATAAGAAGCAAATCATTTTGGGAGAATGCAGACTGGCTTGATTCTACTTCCTTGTTTGCCGCAGATGCATCCTCCTCATCACTGCTATCGATAATCTCCACAAATTCTTGGCGGCCACTTGGAATATTTTGAAGCAAAAGCGGTTGTTTCGCACTTATTAAACCACAGTATTCCTGAAAGTAAGATCCATCTATATTATAGAATTTGAATACATTTATTTTGTGGGTCTACAAACCTCGTACATATCTAGGGCCTTGTCATAGCAATCGGCACAAATATATTGCACCTTAAATTTCTTTTTGTTAACCTTGAAGAAACTAAAGGCAAATTGCGGTACCCTGAAATATTGTTTATGTTTATGGGGGCATTCATAGTTAATACATTCTTTATTGTAGAAGACTTCATCTGTGGTGTCTTCAGTGAGTTCTTCTTCGGAGATTTTAGTTTCTTCGTTTTCTTTTCTAATTTCTTCCATAGATTTCTCATCCACAATAGACAAAAGATTTTCCTCCTCTTTTGTCTCTGGCACGTTTTCTGCCCCACTTGCTTCTTTCGGGGTTGCATCGTCTGTGTCCATAGGTTTAACTTCATTATCAGCTTGTGATTTGGACTCAGGCTCATCCTCGTCTTCATCATCAATCTCTATGACTGGCATGGGAGGTTGTTCAATAGTTATAACATCGTCATCGTGACTTTCGGATGTTTTATCATGAGTACTTTCGTTTGCATTGGTCGGCTCCTTTGATTCATCAATGCCTTCTGTGACTGTTTTCTTTGCGCCACTCTCACCTCCTTCATCCACCTCCTCTCTTTCATCCGTATTTTCAGTCAATTCCGAAGTTTCATCTATGATAAGATTTGTCGACTCTTGGGATTCGCATGTGTCCATATTTTCACTGTGACCCATGGTTATATCTTCATCCATTGGATCATCCTTGTTTGCATCAATATTAAGTGTGTCCACTTTTCCAGAATCTATTAATTTGTCTTCCAAATCTTCTTGACCTTTATTGTCCACTGTTAATGCACTTTCTTCAGCTTGATGTGTGGTATCCATGTCAACAGCATTATCTTCACATGTGGTGACTGATTTGATATCATCCATTGTTTCAGGCAAAATTGGTGTCTTAACTTTTACAGCGTCGTCGTTATCAGTTTCTTCTGGAGTAATTGAAGGTGTAAGATCTTCTTTGTTAGAATTAGCAGCTGATGTATCCGCTTTAGCAGATTCTGTGTCTTTATCTATCTTAGTTTCCGTAGTTTCTGTGAGCTGCTTATCCTTATTTATGTCCTTCTTATCGAGGGGAAGACTTTCATCTGACACTACACGAGTTTTTGCAGCATCTGTATTCATTGTTTCTTGCAATTCTACATCTTTTGTCGGTAAGTCTTCCCCTTCAACTGGAATTTCTAATATGAATGTGTTCCCAGTTCCCTCATTTTCCTTTTCCGGAAATGTCTCTGGTTCAGTGTTTTTCTCCACATTTTCTTGTATTTTCTCCTGTTCGGTTGTTTGTGTATCCTTTGCTGGACTTTTCATTTCAGTGGAAACACCCGGCTTTTCTTCTTCACTTTCTTTTGGTAATTCCATTATTTCGGATGGAACGTCAGAAACCTCTTTCATTTCACCTTCTTTGACTTCCTCAGACATTGTATATTGTTATATTTTCTATATTTTTTCTTAATTTTTTAATTAAAAAATCAACTTTCTGCACAAGCAAATTCACCAAGCAAACTAAGCAGACAACGAAGTGGGACGATTTTTTCAGCGGCGGCGCATCAAGTGTAAGCCAAGCGGTGACAGATCGTTGTCAATTGCCGCAAGAATTTGGCGCAGAAGAAATATAATTAAAATATAAATATATCTTTAAATTTTCTTTTTTTGCACTTTTTTAATTTTTGTAATTTTTTTATTCTTTATCTTTGCGAAAAACACCCGCGCAATATATATTCTAGCTGCTTGGCGGCGATTTGAGACGACATAGTCGGCGGCTTACATTTGAAAAAAGTGCGGCGGCGAACAGGCGATGACACCAAACACATAAACAAAAAACTGTTGAGAATGAAGGAAGCAGGCAAATCGCGAAAACAAACGAATAAGAAGAGGCAAAATGGGCAAAGTTTACGAATAGGAAGAGATATAAAGCAAAAATAGGGATTTATAATGACCAATTTATTGTTTATATGGGGTTTACAGTTCCAAACTCCACCAAATGAGAAATATATTCTAGGCATGGTAGAAGAATATAGGTAGACGCATGGTACAATGATATCAAGGTAGGGCTATGATACCATATGATTTCAATTTTTTTTATTTTCTTGGCTTAATATGTCATCTTTATTTGTTTATGTATGTGTTTTCTTTTCAATAACAAAAAAATTGTTCAGAAAACATTCAAATTCGGATGTTTTCAAAATGTTTATTTCATCGTATGCATCGACAAAATCTAGAGTTTTTGTAGCGAAATAATCCTATAGAGATATATAGAACCTGGTTTTAAAAAGAAGTGTTGACCTTTAATTCAGTTTTAGCGGTTTTCAATTATTTATTCAAAATACATGCAACAAGTTGTTTGATTTTTTATGTTTTGATACTAATTCTGACATTACAAGCCAAACAGGTAGATCTCTATACTTGTAATTTTTTCAAAGTTGACCTACCTTCTCTTCATTGTACCATGGGTAGACGCATCGAAACAGCTGCTGGGACAATGAACTGTCAAACCAAATTCGGAATTGAAAATGTTGAATGAAAATTTATTTAAATGTGTAAAAATTGTTGAAAACGAGTATTATAATATCCTCCGAATGACGTCGTATGGAAAACAATATAAAAATCTACTTATATTTGAAAAGAAATTTAAAATTTTTTGACATATCAATGCTCCCAAGCGTTGATGCATCTGCCTGTATTCTTCTACTATGATTTTATCCCAAAATTATACATTTTGTCGCTTATTATCGTGGAAAATATAAATTTCTGTTGTCTCTAAACTTGAAAAAAAAAATAAAATTATTTTCTTCGTTATTCAAAACAATACACACATATACAAACTTGCTCTGTTCCAGAACCTGCAAGAATCTACTATGTTTGCAATGTTTTTTCGATATCATAAAGTGAAAATCGGTTATCGTAGTAAATACTTTTACATTCTTGCAGTTCTGGAACAGACCAAATGTGTATAAGTTTTGACAGAACGTGGGCAACAAGAGACACCAATTGTATTTGGGAGGTAGCTTTGTTTTACCTTCTGTAATTGTGCCATGAGTTTGTGATGGTGTCAAATTGACTTTACTTTTCATAGTAAATTTTAAATCATTAAGTTCATCTCAGAATAGAAATAAACAAAGAAGAAAAAACAGTAAGGAACAATTATGTCAAGTTAACCTTATTCATATAAGGAATTCTGTAATTGATAGAAAGTTTTGACAGTTCCATCCAGTGAATAGTCCAATTCATTAAGTTCCTTTCTGGAACTACAGAACTCTACACGTCGTGTTGTCCGCCTTTCTGTTTTGATTCAAATCTTTATCTTTATTTCTTTCTGTGCTGTCTTTCCTTTCAGTGTTGCCATGTTGGTTGAAACAAATTTGCCGCAACCTTTAAATGTCATGGCGAATCTATGTTTTTCGCCTTAGAAGCCAATTTTGACATTTGAGCAATTCGCCGATGCGGTTACCTGTTAGATCTACCTTGTGCACATGTTTCTGGTTGTCTTCCAAACTCCTCCCAAACATCAACACGGAATCATCTAGGAAATAATGAGTGACGAAGTGGTTGATGCTTTACCAAATATTCTAATAACTGGTAAGATTTCCTTGACAAATTAGTGAATCAAAATCTAAACAGTTGATTTGTTCCAGGCACTCCCGGTGTTGGTAAATCGTACCTGTGTCAAAAACTCCAAGAGCAGCTCAAATTCAAATGGATTGATTGTTCCAAAATCGCCAAGGAGAATGATTTCATAGAGGAATACGATGAAGAATATGAGTGTCCCATTTTGGACGAAGACAAACTTATGGATTACATGGAACCCTTAATGGCAAAGGGTGGTAATATAGTTGAATATCATGGCTGTGATTTCTTTCCGGAAAGATGGTTTAGTGCCGTCTTTGTAGTCACATGTCCAAATAATACAGTGCTCTATGATCGCCTTAAGGACAGAAATTACAACGACAAAAAACTCAAGTCCAATATTGAATGTGAAATTTTCGGCACAATATTGGAGGAAGCCAAAGACTCCTATAAACCAGATATAGTATTTGAGTTGAAAGGTGAAACCAAACAGGATGCTGAACAAAGTTTAAAGACAATAAAGAATTGGTACAAGGCATGGAAGAGGAAATAAATATATTTCAATAAAAGAATGTGTTTTACTCATGGATTATGGATTATGTGGGTATGATGGGAAGTAGGAACGTTACACCGAATGCAAATTTATCTGTAATTTTACATTTCGTTTTCAATCCTCACCTTATTTTTTAATATAGGTTATCTATAAGTTGGAGGGTGTTAAAAATGTAGAAGAGAGAATTTGGTCAGACACTTAAAACAATTATTCTTCCAAAGATATCTTGGAAAATAATTTTCCTGTTAAATAAACAGTACATTTTGTGTAAATTTAAAATGACTTGAAAAGAAACCCCTCAAACACGTCTTTTGTATTGAAGAATTTCTGCTTCATTTTTTCGAAATCAGGAATGATCTCAGATGAAGACAATAAAAAAATGGTGATCTCATTTACAATTTAAAAAAAAAAATGTGGGAAACAAGAATACTTTGGAAGAAAAAAAGTCATTTGGCGCTATATAAATATAACCCTTTCAATTAAAACGAACAATAAGATATCAATAATATAAAATGGGGTATGTTTATTTCTTTATGATTTGTTACTATAAATAATATATATATACACATATGGACATTAAATTAAAAAAATACAGTGATGTACAATATTTTAAATTAATACTTGGTCATCTTAAATTTCAGTGGACCATCTGGAGCATACATAAATGTTACCGCATATTCCAGTGGTTCATGTTCGTATTCCAATTTGTAAGAGCGTAAAAGTTTCGCTAATAGAATTTGCATTTCCAAATCGGCAAAACGTCGTCCTAAACACATACGGGCACCATAGCCATATGGCAACGAAGCAAATGGATGCAGTTTACCCTCAAACCCACCTTGACTGGGTTTAAGCCAACGTTCTGGTTTAAATTCGGCAGCATCGGTAACATATTTTTCCATGTTTCCCGTGACAATGGTGGGGAAAACAGCTTGAACCTATAACAAGCATGGACTATAATAAAGAAATCTTTGATAATTTGTTATTGCTCTTAATCTACCCCTTTTGGTATGCGATAACCGCATATAACAGCATCCTCCTGCAGCGTTCTACCATTGCCAATGACTGTACTGTACATGCGAAATACTTCTTTAATGAAGGCCTTTAAATAATGCATTTGATCCAGTAATTGCAATGTAAGCGGGGTCTTGGGATCTGGCATTAATCGTTTCAATTCTTGGTGAACTTTTTCTTGTTGCTCTGGCCGGGTGGCTAATTGATACAACATTGAACAGACCGCCATGGAAATCTAAATTAAATGAAAAATTGAGTAACATTTTGTTCAAAGTACGGTGTTTTACGGTACGGTACTTACGGTGTCAATGCCAACTAGTATTAAATCCAAAGCCATGATTGTTGCAATTTTCTCATCCTTCTGTGACATTATAACTTTCTCCAGTAGAGATGGTTCTCCGTGTTTGCAGGGTCCTTGAACCTTTAGACGATCCGTTGCAGATTTGATATATTTCATGCATACTCTAAAATGTGTGAACGCAAATTTATTATTATTATAAATTTATTATTATAGATTTATTATTATTATAGATTTATTATTATTATAAATTTATTATTATTATAAATTTATACTAATTTGTTATATGGAAAATATAATCAGACTGACTATATGCTTATTTAAATTGAGAAAGAGTTAGAAAATATATTCTTTAGAATAAATCGAAAAACAAATAAAGCCTTAAAATATAGGCATCATAAAAAGTGTGATAACTACTAAATTCCTTTTTGGGATGTTAAAAAACTTACTCTACAAAGAAGTTCATATTTTTCACATAATGAGTCCACAGCGGCGTTGGGAAATAACGCCAATAGGGTGCCTTCAATTCCAATGTTGCAACATTACGCAAAGCATATTTGGCAGCATTAATGATTTGTTGAGGTTCCGAGTCAGGAGATAAGTTCGATTCCAAACAACCCAAGCGAGTGTCCAAGGCAACGCGGCCAATACCTATTACGAAATAATTTATTAATAAATATTCTAAAGTATTGAAATGTTTGAAATGTAAACTTACATTCAAGGGACCATTTGTGAATTTCATTGTCAAAATCTTCGGGTAATTCTGAATTCACATCCAAAAGGGTTTCGCAACGTTTCAAGAAATCATCTGTTACCACTTCCAAGGGTTGCAGATAGCGACGAACGGTTGATAACTGCAGCACGGGTTTTTGCACTTTCGAACGGAATTCACGCCAAGGTTCACCGTGTCTATGCGAAAGAAAAATTGAAACAAAGAATAAAATAATGGGTTGTTTTCCCGAAAACTATTTAAACAAGCAATAGAATTACAACCAATTTCCTGTTTGTATTTGTTTAAATATTTCAAAAAATAACAGGATATTTGTGTAATTCGATTGCACTTCCTTTGAAAATTTTGAAACAGAAAGTTAAAATTGAATTTAATTCAAATGGATTTTAAAGGGCTTGGTCATGGGCTTAGCTTTACTTAAGTATTCAATATTTTTTCTAATCCTTTTTTAATATATTTTTTAAAAAATCAATTATATGCTTACACTCCCACAACACCACCCAGATCCCCAAAGAAATCTTTGCGCACCACACTCTTATATTTCACAAGACTAGGCATTGATGGACGGAATGGAGTTGTTCCCTCGGTACGATAACACTAAAAGGAAAATAAATACAAATTATATAATAGTACATATCTGACATATCTGAATATTTAGATTTGATGACAATCCTTGCCTTTTCAATTTCATCAACATCGTATATGAACAGCAAATCCGGTCTTCCTATTAGGCCACTGAATTTTACAATTTGTCCATATTGTTCGTGAAGTTGTGAGGAAATTTTTGCAACATCTCCAATCGTATATTGGCCAATGATGGGCATCATTCTGAAATGGTAAATTTGAGAAAATAAAATTAATATGTTTGAAATGAAAAATAAATTATAGTGCCTAAGAAAGAGAGAATTGAAAAAAAAAGACAATTTGGGCGGAAATGGCGAAATTCGCATGAATTATTTTTTTATAAAAATTCTGTAACTTTGGAACACATAAAGATGTTTATATTATAGTCGTGGATAGATAGATAGATCTAGAGTAAATGTTGAGGATCTTAAGATAAAAGCCAAACTTTAGACTTTTTTTAAATTTAATGAGAGCCTTTGTTTTTTTATTAATTGTTATTAAAAGAAGGCCATCTGATGATCATTAAACTACTATGTAAAAAGCTCTAGTACTGAGAGGGACCATAATTTTTGCATGAAAAATACCAGAATTTCAATTCAACCGAGAATATTTTTAGTTCTGAAAGTCACTTCCCGTCGAAATCACAAATAAATCAGGAGGGCACTTTCGACCTTTAAATTTATGCCGATTTTTTTTAGGCTAAAGACTTATATTGCAAAATATCAAAATGGAATCATAAGGGAAATAAATCACAAAGTAATTTGCATTTAATTGGATCTAATCTTCAAAATGATGAACAGCCCAATTAATCAAGAAAACAATCAGGGGTGAGTACTGCAAATATGATGAGGTGTATACCCTGATGGATGTTTATGAACAAATAGCCGTTGGAAGGGACTGAAAATAAAAACAATGAGCTATTCAAAGAATATATTTTTGTCATTCAGTCAGTTCCTTAGATTTTAATCAACAATCAATGGCTGAAAATAAAAACAGATGACTGCCTCGTAATAGGGATTTCAATTCTGTTCGAGGTAACCATCAGGGGATACGTGGAATGCACATACAGGGTGAGATAAAAAACTGCAACATAAATTTTACTTTTTTTAATTTTATTGAATAAAAGCAAAAAATGTTGAAAATAGCATCAATTTTAGAATAAGTTTCGATTTGTTCGAATTGGTCACTTTTGGCACGAATTGTGGCCTTTAAACGGACAATGAAACCGTCACACGCTTCCCGAATGTTGCTCTGCGGTATTTTGGCCCACAGTTAAGACTCTGACGACAAACCAAAAATGGAGTCACTCTTGAACCCTGGGAAGATGGGTAATAAGTCGTCTGTTTCATTTAACGGTGTCAAGGTGATGTACACAAAGATGTTTAAAGAATGGTTTCTCTTAAGCCTTAGGAAGTGTGAGAATAACAAATCATTGAATGAGTTAAGGGACTGAGGAATCGAAAAGTATCACAGAAAATCATTTGATCTTTGGTGAACTTTGAATGAAAGCAAAACGTGTTGACAGTTTGAACAATAGAAAGTTGAGTCAGTGTGAATGCAACCTTCAGCAATGATTAACATCTGTAAAGTTAATTCAGTTGTGGGACGTCTCCATCATAAATTGAAAAAAATATATAAACGAACCCATATTTTTAAGACCTTCACGAAACAGTGAAACTCAAAACCCCATAAAATGCACACAAATTCCACTCTGTATACCACATATTCGTCATTCTATTCGAAATGATTGCTTCCCATGTAGTCAATATATTTTTCATTTCACTACCCTAGCGAATATGAAGCATTATTATTTATGGCCTTAGGTGTGGCTCTATGGCATTGAAATTGTGGATGACACTGGAACACACAAGTCAATAGACCATAGAATTATTTAATATCTAAATATTTGGATTTTTCCAAAGGTTATATTAATTGACAACTAACAAAAAGACATGAAAAATAACCTTTATTTGTTTCACCCTCCCCAACACCACCACCAAAACATAAGGAACCCAACAACAGTTGATGGCAAACAATTTGCGAACTTGTTAATTAGAATTAGGATTTTAGAACATAAATGTTAATACAAAATCGAAAGTGTTAACTCTTATATACATACAAAATGCAGAAAAATAAATAAAAAAAATGATTTGGAAAAAAGTTGGTTTTGCTATATCCGGTAGTAAAGTGGTAAAGGTAAAATTGGGAAATTGAAATTCGTTTTTCTTTTATTATTATAATTTAGCGTTTTCGATTATGAATATTATAATCCACTCACTCATGGAAATCCATAAATGAATTTTTATTTATGATTGGGATGAGAGTTAAAACAAAATTCCAGTGACAGATTCGGATCATAATGTCATCAATAATTAATGATTATTATGTCGTTTGATATCATGACACAGCGTGTTAACATAAATACATGTTTTTTGGAAGTCTTGTAGTTTGTTTGTTTATTATTTGAGTTTGTTTTTCACCTTTCATTTGTTATTTTTGCACATACTATTTGTTTATCGATGTAGTTAGTGTCAAAAAGGTGCTAATTAAATTGGTTAGTCAGACACAATTTTTGAGCATCGCATCAACATCGCCGCCGGTAGGTAAGTTGGTTGGTATTAACAACACTGTCAAACAATTAACACATTTAAAATCAGTTGGAATTATATTCAAGGTCATGGTTAACCATTCCTCCGACAAAGACTGCAGCATTTGAGTTATATATTTCAAAGAAAACGACGTGATCAAAAGAAGACGTAAAACTTTTCATTATCACATTTATTGACCATTTATGATAATATTATTATTAATGTATACAAATAGAAAAACATATGTTGATTTTTGATGCACATTTATTTCCGGAATATATGTATATTCATGGGAATATTTGAGAGTTGTAAGCCGACAATTTTATGATGGAAATTGGAGTATTTCTTAAAGTGATGCACAAAATTGGTCATTTTTTACTCATTTTTCCTTCTAAACCAAAAATTCCCTTAGTTTTGCGTGAAATCTGACTTTCGTGATATAGACAACCGTGACTACAACGAATTGGTTTGAATTAAGTAAAAATTATGAACATTTTTAAAATGATTTAAAAAAATTAGAAGAGGTTTTAAAAAAAAAAAATAAATAAAAATTGTAACTTTTTTTATTTTGAGTCTGTTTTGCATGATGAGTGCTAAAGAACACTATTCCAAATATAAATTAAACATTTTCAATTTAATATAGAAAAAAGTCAAATAAATGAAACATTTATTGGAAATGTGGTTTCCCAGTCACTATAGTATTGTCTTATAGAAACCGATCTTTTCTAAACCCTACACCATTCTATGAAGGGTATACAGGGTGAGATGAAAAAACTGCATCCAACTTCAGACTGCTGTAATTTCTAAGCCACTCGTCCGACAGCTGTTAAAATTATTCCAGTGACAGCTCATTATATTGTTTACAAGCGTACGAAAGCATTTTGGTAAGAATTTTCCAGAAAAAAAGTTATTCGTGATGGAATTTAAGCGTTTTTCTTTATATTTGGCTGGAAAACCACAAGTGGCTATCGTTAGAGCACTCCAGCATTTAAATAATCTTTTGTGTCTCGTACAATCGCTCGTTACCGTGATACTGGTAGCGTAGCCCGATGTCGAGGAAGTGGACGTAAGCAAACAGAAGTTCGTAATGGGTGCTACAGCCTATGACAAAAATTTTTGTATGCAGGTCCACGTTTTCGTGTAGTTCCCATATAATGGTTTTCATATAAATGGTAGATTTCGGATTTTTGTTTTGAACATTTTCCAGTTCCTTCCAAATGTTGAGGGGTATTAAAAGTTCGTCCCAGCCAAACTTAGCTGCGTTTTTACTTGTTTATTTACAATTTATATATTTATTTTTCTGTGCATTAACTGTAGAAAAAAATACATTTGGGCATTTAAATATGTTCGTTCATTTTTTTATTCTTTTTTGTTACCTCCATAAAAATAGTTTATTTTCTCCATTCAAAAACCCTGTAAAATAATCATACAAATCACGTATTCCGAAATAGGTTGATAAGCCGGTTCGTTGTGGATGTGCCACCTGCAAAATGTCATCATTTCTTTGACGTGAATAAAGCTCGACTATTCCCGGTAAGGTAAGGTAAAATGTTACAAAAGGTTTAGGGGACTTGCAATGCATTTAATTGAGGCCTGCCTCCTACTGCAGCTGAAAATTAACAACTGGCAATCGGATAAAAGCAAAAAAGTGTCATTATTGTTGACAATTTTGTAATTTGTTTGCCACTACATGAGATTCAATCTTTCGACGTGGTCATCAAATACGTATATTATACCAACTATTTTAATGTGCTAAAGACCGAAATGAATTGAAATTGTTTCATTTGAATAATTATTATTCGATTCATGTACGATATTCGTAGTTGACCAGTAAATATGCCATGACATTGTTCATTGTTAAGTCTGATGAGTTTTGATATTTAAGAAAAAAAAAAAAAATAAACAAAAAAGTACTCCAATAACAAGCGACATCTGGTTCCGCAATCCTCAAAAGACAAAAAAATTCCATTCTACTTTTTTTAAGAACGAAAAGTTCTAAAATCGAACAAAACTTCTAAAATAGTACGTATTGGTATTATGTGAACAGATAGATAGATAGAGGATGGAAAGTAATTTCGATAAATAAAGGTGGTTTTGGAAATGTATACAAAAGTGCCACTACTAAATGGTACAAAATTTGGAACAGTTTCTTTAAGGAAAACCAATTAAAGCTGGAATTTTTAAATGTTGTATTTTGAAACGTATTCTACAAGTGCATTAAATATTAACATTTTTGGTACAATTTAGCATTGAGTGGGCAGATAGTGCTTGAAATCTGGTATTAGGTTCACTTTTCATGTGTAGACTGGACATATGGCGGTAGTTTCGGAAATATGTACTATAGTTTTACGAAAAGTACTTAATGGTACTATATACCGGGAGGAGGAATAGTGATTATATTCTAAAATTTTAAATTTAGGTTACTGTTTGTGTCTGTGTTTGAGATTTGGTGGTGATTTGGAAATGAGTCTTATACTTGTACGAAAAGTAATAAATGGTACTCAATTTACTAATAACATCCTCGGAAAGAGTTTTAAGACTTTTTGGTGTTAAAGTACACATTTTCCAATAATTTTTTCCGAAAAAGGAAAAACTTAAATGATATATAAAATCTTG